ATGCTGTCACTCTTATAAGTTTTTTTCTCTCTAAAATTACAGTTTAAACCAAAACTGCATATATATTTTTGTCTGTATGACAATCATGGGTTTAGTTTTTTTTCGTTTGAGTTACAGTTAAATATATACCAGTTAACCCTAAAGAATCACTTACAGGGGTTTCATAAAGTTTAACAGAAGGCGGCTATTTTATAAATACCAGGCGAAAAGGAATGTAGAAAGTGTTACTGGCAGCCATGACCCAAAAGAGGGCCAACAAGGCCCATCATGTTCCAGGCCCTTTTATCCCGTCACCAGATTATAACAAAACCCTTGACTTAGAGCCGATATTAAATATACCACCTAGTACTTAACTTATATATAGAATAAAAATATATACAATAAAAGTTCAAAGAAAAGAATTGTAAATGCAAAAATGCAGCATAATGATGATATTACAATGTACATGTACATGGAACTCCAAGACTACCAGCCACAAAACTACTTTTTAATGCTATCAATGTACAACAAAGTCTGTTGCCTTCTTGATTTTTGCATTTTGGAGATTGAAATCTGATAAATGCATGATAGATAATAAAATTTGTTTCATATTCATAGGGAGGAGGGGGGGGGGGGTGGAGAATGTCTATTAAGGATTAAGGTTAAATGTCTTTCAAGGGATATATTTCTTTTATTTGATACATCATCCCTACTATTATTATTATAACAGAGACTTTATTCTTACAATGCATTACTCCTCACATATAAACTACCTTAAAATCAATTGATTACTCATGGCTGCTGTCTGGTAAAAGACTTGGACTGATCAATCAGGTGCTGATCATGAGCGTGCAACTTTTAAATTACCGTCAAGGAGACAACAATTGTCTCCTATCGAACCTGATTGAACAATTTGATTGAACGGTTGAGCTATCTGACTAATATATGTACAGTGTCTGTAAATACAAGACAATCGGTAGCTGGGGTGATTTACATGTACCAGATGTTTCATATTGATGTAGGAAACATACACTGCACTTTACATCACATGCAGGAGACATATTGAACTCTGCAGTAAATTAAACACATCACAGTGATTCTGGTTTGTGGTTTCTCGTAATTACCTCATATATAATGTAAAAGCACTCTAAAAGCAAAATAGAGTTTCTTTTCTATCAGTCTGGGAAAGATTCTTATCTGACAGCTTTCTTCATTTTCCTTAAAGCTCAGTGAAAGTGTTTTATCTGTATATGCTCAACCTTATATGGAACATGAATGAATGGTTAAATGTGACACTGAGACAACCATATAGAGACCCAAGATTGTTTCTTCCTTAGTATAAATTCAAGCACAAGCAGGTATCTCAGTAGAACTAAAACCACAAATAATTCTCCTACGGCCCTGACTACCAGAATTGCACTTTACTTGACTACAAAAGGTAAGACTAAAGAAGTTTACATAGCATTTTTTACCATTACAGAACATAGCATAACATATAAAAGGACAATAGATCATACTTAGATTGTAAGAAATGCAATAAAACAACAAGTAGTTACGACAATCCAAAAGTAATGCCATAAATGGAATGTCATTCTACTGAATGACACCTGCCAGCTGATTTCCCCTATCCCATGACTAAAAGTCAATGAGACAATGTCAACTTACAACACTCAAAAGATTTCTGTATCCTGTTGTACTTGGCAGATCTACAATTCTGGTTACGTCACTTACAATTTTTTTTTCTTAACAATAAACAAACAACAGGGACTACTAAACAGTAAAATATGCGGCAAAAATAACAAAACAACACATTCAGCTTCTCTGTCATCTTGCTGAATCACGTCATTTATATTTTAAAGGGTAAGGAGAAAAAATGTTGAAAAACCACAAACTATGTCCCCCGCAACCACAGGCTATCATCTGTGAAGTTTAATTCGAACAATAAGAAAATACTTTTTTTTCCCTTGGTAATTACATATATTTTAAACGCATAATTGGAGCAAAATTTAATGGCCATTACGATATACGGATACCTGTAAATCTATAAAAAAACTAGCTTATTACATTACAAAATTAGCACTGACCCCAAACAGGGTACTACTAAGCACAAGGGTAGATTTTTTATTAATATGCAAACGATGAAAACATTCGCCTCATTAAGATAACTTTAAGAGCTTCCATTCAGATCGTTTAACCCCATATCTGTCAATCAAACCCAATCATATTAAATTACCCAGCAACAAAAGAGAACTTATCAAAAATATTTAGAGAAGAAAGCTTGTCAAGTTCTGCATGGTTAGGTCAATTGACCCAAATTTTGGGAATACACTGATCACACTTCTCAGATAACATTGAAAACACCTTTAATGTTGTCAACTATCATGAATTTTTTAAAAGACTCAGTCTTATGAATGAACTCATTTCTAAAGGGCGTGACAATCTCATAGGGATAAGGTAGCCCTATGATGAAACCTTAACTAGCTGAATGACCTTCACATGGATTTTTTTTAACCTTGTAATCAGGAGGGAAAAAATCTAGTACCAAGCAAATAGTGAAATATTGTGTCATTAACAAAGAATTTTTCTACAGCTGTGAACATGAGCACTACAACACCTCTTGTTTATATTAGTACACAATTATGAGAGAAAAGACGATATTATTAATTACTGAATAATTTTGATACATTAAAACAGTATCTACAGAACTATTGTAATCTTGATTTCTGTCAACTAGTACTGCTCAGAACAACCTTGTCAGCATTGTTGAGGAAGTTATTCATGAACTGACTTCACAAAATTTAATCCTTGATTAACGAGTATGTTTAAATGTACCAAAATCTCCTCTATCTGAAGATTATCCCCATACACCTAAAAATTGTTGTCCAGACAGCAAGCATGGTACAATAGTGACTGTATATATTTAACTTAGATATACATGTAGGTACAATAATCTCAAATCAAGACAATAAATTGCAATATGCATTGGGTAAAGGTTCAAATGTTTACTATTTCAATGGTACTCTTGTTTTCTATGCTTCTCTTAAAAACTCAAGAAAACCTATCTGGGTAACTGTAAGGTTTCAACAATATTTTGATTGATACTGTTCTTTTTGGCCATGTAAAGCTGTTTCTGGAAAAAGTCAATATTAACTTAAATTTGATGTACAGTAGAGGGTATCCATATTATTTTAATGCTGTGATGCCAGCATGTAACACAACAAAACATGCTAGAATACTAAATGAATTGGCCCACATCCAATTTGATTGTGCATACAGTAAATACTGGCACAGTAAATATTTGTTGACTTAGTATTTGTACTGATATTGGCAATATATACCAAATTATCATAAAACTATCAGCTGTTCAATGTTTTCTTTACCACACATTTTCTTAAAATATAATCAAAATGCCACAGTACTTTGTATTTTAAGTATATCTTAAGAACTTATGTGGTTTACTTTAAGTGTAAATGAGGGCACAAGATAGATATGATTCATATATCTGCACTAGTTTCCACAATGAAACCATTTTAGCTATTTTAGGGCTAGGCTACAAAGCATTTGACACTTACTGAAGTTACAGTAATACTGAACATACATTGTATATAATTTGATTACCTTATTAATTCAATGAAGCTGAAGGCGTATAAATATTTATCTGTAGGTGAATTCATAGCACATGTAAAAATGTCATACTTGACTGATTAACCTACACATTTTAAACACTAAAATTCCGACATTAAATTCGCATTCCGAACATATAATGCGAAACTGTACCTCTGAAACTTGATATTAATTTCATACTTTGTATACTTTCTTAAATCTATTTTTAAATGAACCTTAGAGCTTAAAGGTGATCATATTGCTTTCAATATAAATTAAATGAACATAAATAAAAGAAATCTATTAAATTATGCAACCATTCAAGGTTTCCTCCGATGCACACTTCTCATTATGGTTGAAAGGGTAAACGCACTCTAATCTCATCTTCAAAGTCAACAAAAATTTTAGGATTTCAAGCAAACATTATATGATAAGGTGCATTAAAATGACAGATAGCATGTATACACAAACTTTGTGATAGATTATAGTCATTGTTTGTATGACAAATCAACTTTATGACGGTCAGTCATAAAACCCTACAGCAAGACAGGCCTGACAAAAATTGAATATAACTTGAACCATGTTTTCACTGATCACATCATATGTTCACCTTAATATTAATGACCGAATGCCTTGGGCAAGTAGGGATGGTATCGTATCAAAGTAATTAATAAATTATCCTTTATGTGGCAAACTAGATCATATGATCTTATGACATCAATGATCAATTTCTCGTCATTATCTGTTTATCTTGTAAAGAAATAGCCAATGACCTGACCAGCCCTGTTTGATACAATATCTCACAGCAGTATAGCATTACAATAAAATCTTTTGTATCCAACAAACTGAGTCACTTATATTATTTTATTTTAATATGCTTTTGTGTTCCAATTCCTCTTGTATTCTATGCATGCATGACTTGTATAAAATATTAATTTACATGAAATAACTTGACACTAATTTAAATAAAGTATTTAAATGAGTAAAAATCTTAATATAATGAAATTTTATCTGTTGGTAAATACATCTATTGACTGACCATTGCTGAACTTGAAAACATGCCATAAATCTAGTAATCAAGTTAATCATCTCTATTTATATATTAATGAAAATGGAAGTAATGAGTTTGACTTCATTTCTAAATTAGATGAGGCTCCATCAAATGAAAATGTTTCTACTCGAGTGTTCTATCTTACAGGGAAAAAAACTACTCAAGTGGTTTCAGTACAGTAACACATTGATATAGGGTTATCAAGCGTTCTTAGAAACACAGTAAATGAGTAATAGTATAATTCTGTAACTCATTCTACGCTTTATTCTTGGTAAAAAATATAGTGCATGAATGTTTGCTGAATGCTTAAAGATAACTTAAATGTACTGAATTCCCAGAGCACCATGAATTATTAATAAATACATACCTAAAGCATCTACAAGTTTCACCATGACACCTCCTACATGTAAATCTCCATTCACTCGCAGAGTCCTCTCAACTTGAAGATCTGTGACCAGAATATTCAGCTCCCATGAGCCATCAACTTTATCTGCTCCACCCAAATATGCCATTTTCTTAGTTACTATATACACACAATATTTAATTCACAAATAATTCCAAAATGAATATCTAATCAAAATTTTACTCCTTCAAACTATGTGGGTGAATATTCTGATAAATCCATTTTTAAAATGCAATCTGAAATATAAATTATTTAAAGTGTAAGATAAAAAGCAACCGAAGATAGGTACAATTCAATCCAGGGCCTAATTAAGTAAATGGCATTTTTAAACATAGATAATTTTAAACTTTGAAAGTGCAATGAGGATCTAGTCCTTAATTAAAAGACTTCACATTTTGATTTTCACAGTTTTACAATTAAAGCGGAATCTGACAAATGTAAAAAATATTTTCAAATCCACGGTAGGTCTATATATGTCTAAGTATTGTAAATTAATCATAATTTTCCTAATTATCTGATGAGACAATACAAATACCAACAATAAAAAGCATTCCACCATATCAAGTTTTGATTTCTTTTTCTATAAAAATTAATTTAAATTAAAAAACCTAAATTAAATTGGCAAACTGACACAACTTCTCAAATGCCTCAAACAATTTGTTGAAATCATGATGATGTGGCAATAAATCAATAACTGCACATACCAACAAAATATATCCATTAACTTCACTGAGTAAGTAATATATAAAATTCATTTAAACATAGCACATTCGTTCAGGTAACAAACTGACTAAATATTTACTCAAATATACATCCGAAACTGGGTCATCCAAAGTTGGAAAACTTGCACAATCTAAGTTTACACAGAATATTTATTTCCGATTAATTTACCACCAGATGTTTAATTTTCTAATAATAACCCTTCATTAAAAGCCAGTGAAACCATAAAACAAACCTTATTCTTCACGATTTGCTAATTGTCAACAAATGTAAATAACACAATCTTTGAAACTTTGACTTTCACAAAGTGACTCAAAAATCAACAATCCTCCAATGTCCCTATTTGGCAGCACATCACTACTATTTAGAAATTAGATGTAACACGCATTTTGATTGGCCAATCGCGAATGGGGATGTTCTCAAAATCATTGTAGTAGTTTCGTTATGAATGAACAGTAGTAAACTATAAAGAAAATTGATTTACATTACATGGTTAGAATAATTACTTTAATTAGGGTCTTTCAATTGACTTGTTGACATTAAAAATCATGAATGTCGTTTCTATGACTTGTTAAATTAATTCTTATTTCGACTGTGTAGTACAGGAATATTAGCCTACAGTATATATAACAGATATTTTTTTCCAGAAATTCATGTAGATCTATATTATGGTTAATTGGCTAATTGGATTTGAGGAAATTACCATACACAATATATAAGTTAAGGATTTTAGATAATAAGAAATAATGCATGCTTACATAATTTTTTTCAAAATAGTAAATAGTTCAAAGAATAAACAGCATATAATTTTGACAATATACTGATAAATGTATTCCCTTTAACAATCATTTAGGTTTAATCAGCTATAAGGGAAATCTTGCCTTTCATTTTAAAATAACTAAATTTATTTTCTTTTAATGATACAATTCATTTGATAACTCGCATATCGTTATTTTAACAAAAATAATGGGACACTGCAACATCAGCTTTATTTTATATCTTGGTTCATTTTAAAAGTAAATCTACCTTCCTTATAACCATGTAAATTGTAACACTGCTCCCCTACCACTGGGGTGTCATGTGAAATAGCAGTGGAGGAGCTGTGTTTTAACCTCCTGCTCCAGCACTGCCAGGTCAATCCATTGGTTCTCTTTTGATGCCCAAAACGTGGGGGGGGGGGGGGGGATTCTAACTCCCAGTGCAGGGACAATTAGCATCTGACTGTCCCAACAAGAAAGGATCTTTACAATGGGTTGAATATTCCAAGTCAAAATTCCTGCTATTTCATGGGGTTGGTGGGCCAGAGTTACAACTTACTGTAGATCTACATCAGACATGGGTAAATATCTGGAGACTATTAATTTTGTAGATGTAAATGTAGTGAACCATGTTGTTAAAAGATGCCTTTCTTTAATCTACATAATTTTTGAAGTTTTGCACTCATTAAAGGTGGTTGTAAGTACACAGACACATAGGTTATATGACAACTTTCTTGCTTTATTGGTGCAGGAAGACCTCAGCAGCTGCTCTCTGTGATTTTTTTCCCCAAGTTCAGGTGAACCTTCTGTAAGGGAACAGCAAAGGTTCCTATCATGAAAGAATCCAAAGTTCCCGACAGGATTTGAACCTGCGGCAACAAGGAACAATCACTTGAAGTCAGTCACTCTAACCACTAGTCTACACCACCATTTAAAGCTAAAGAAATGATTTAATGGTCACAAGAACAATCACTATTTTCAAGCCAGTATGTAAGCTCCTCCTTAAGTTTCCTCAATTTGTAAATTGTAGCAGAATTTCAGGCACATACCACCAACTGTATAGAACCATTGACCTAAAACCATCTTCATACCAATGTATAAAAGATATATCAAAGAAGGATTAAATGGAATACTGTGACATTTAAAGTGCTGCACTCCTCATATGGGAAACACATTTTGTTCTAATTGTAGGCAATTCACTTTAGCTCTTCAAATATTTTCATAGGAAGAAACAACACAAGGAAATGTGAACAGGAAAATTTATTTGTAAAAATAATCACAACATATGTTTCTTCCCTCTTGTATTTATTCAAATATATCTTTAAAACACAGATAAATCAAAGTAGTATGCAAATTAATGTAAACAACAATGAAAACAATCACGGTTAATGTACACAATTTTCATCATAAATACAAACTTCAGATAAACATACAAAAAATAAAATAGCATATTTAAACCATGAAAAATAATACATATTTCAATGAAATTTAAATTCTTGGACGGAATAAAAGTACATCTATACCACAATCACATATACAGAATAAATACACAGACACTTTAATTTTCCTTAAATGACTCTCTTAAAGTAAAAGGAAAATATATTTCAAAAATGTTTTTTCCTTCAAAATCACATAATGATCTCACAAATAACATGAAATAAAACAGATAAATACATGCATCAACAAAGAATATACTTTAGTAACTGTTTTGAAAATAGAATAATCTAGAGAAGTTTTGTTGATTTTCACAGGAGATATTTCTTTCCAACATCTATTACGCTTAGAATGTCACAGCGCATTTACTGTAGATAATATCCATATTTTAAACCTAACCACGCTAAATATCTTAAATGGACTTGACCAGCTTTCATTTTTGGAACTGTCCATTATCAATTTTTGGGGTTATCAAGATGAAAATTTAAGATAAGTCAGCAAACAGTATATTGCCTGGTCAGACTGCCTAGATGTGCAGGTTGGTCTGCCTCTATACTGGTGACAAAGGCCAACTGCTTTCCTGCAGAGCAGATTATGGTTTTTAAAATAAAGTTGTATCATCTTTTAACACATTAGATAATTATATTTTTAACTGTTAAATCACAATAACTGGAAGTGATGCTGCAACTGTTTAAGAAGGTCCTTGGAGTCAACATGGTCTTTGAAAGCGTCCACAGCTCTCTTTGCCGAGTTATAACTGCTCTGTAGATCACCAAGCTGTAATATAACAAATTATACATATCTGGATAATTTAAATGACTAGACAACTGCAAAACCCTCCCATTACCTAGAAAAAATTGTAAAATGAACTTGTCCGGCTTCAATTTTGGATCAGTCTGTTGTTAATTTTAGGGATAATAATATTGAAATGAACAGCCAACAGTAAGTATCAACTCTAATTAAAACTGGAAAGAAGAATGGATTGGTGACATACCAGACAAGGTATCACCAAATAATCTGAATCATTTATCTGCCTTTTTTGTATGTACATGTGCATATTTGGACACCTATATTAATTTATATAACCAAACCATAACCTCCTGTAAGGGTTAGCTTTTTATTTTAAATGAAATTAGTATTACTTCATAAAATATCAATTTCTGCCATTTTATTCAATTATACCAATAATATATGTATATTAAATCTGATAGTAGACTGTATTGCCATTTCTAAATATCAAAATAAATTGCAACAATAATTACAAGATTAAGAACACCAGCACATCCTTTGCTTAACCTATGAAGAAATGTATTTGTTGTATTTTTTTAAAGTAATATTTGTTGCCATAGCAACTGGATTACTTAATTATGTAACAGCTTGTGCATAGCTTGCTGCATTTCATCTGAATCATTTTCAATATCAAAGTCTTTTTAAATTAATGTCATTGAACTCTTTTACCAATTAAAGGAACTCCACTGAGGTCCAAAAGCATAAAAACATAAAATTTTAAGTTCTTACTTAGATCAACTGGGGCACTTGAAATAGAAAGATATGCAGAAGATAATTCAGAAATATACTCAGAAATAAATTGAAAATAGTATTTTTGTGCTATTCTTAGCCTGATTTGAGTGAAAAGCATTGCAACGCTTTTTATTTTGGGTTAATTTTCAAAATAAGAATAATTATTTTGGAAAAACGGTTTGAGCAAATGATCTGAAATTTTCAACAAGTTATTGGAATAGACCTTCATCAAATGGTACAAAAATCTAAAAAAATATTTCCAGTCATGTAAAAAACCCTCAGGGGAAAAGCCCTCAGTGGAGTCCCTTTAATCTTGTAACAGATTCACGGGGGGGAATCACGTGACTTTGTATAGTAATACCCACGAGAAAATGGCGACTGCTGAGCCCCGATAAGTACCTTATTATGTTAAATTAAGGTGACAAACGTTTCTTAAATCAAAACAAAACCTAGCGTATCATATGCGCGTTAATTTTCTTCAAATGGCAATACAAAATGCATTATCCTACGTTTTGTGGTTTTTGAGAACATTGTTTGAATTGTGTGAAAATTGCACATTCAGCGATAGTAATTCGCACGAAGCGATATAATTTGGTACCAAAATAAAGGAAACTAAGCCTTCTTTTTGCACTTAAGACACCAAATCAATCATTTTATTGACATCTGTTCTTGTAGAATTCCATATAAAATTTTGTTCGAAGGTCTGCAGCCTACAAATGTTCTTTACAAGTGTTTAGTAAGTAAAACGAACAATTTCTGGATAGTAAGTTACACGAAAACAAAATAGTAAGTTTCACGCACAGTTTCCAATAGCATACTAAAATGTGACGAAACTATTTTATAATTATTTGGTTTCAAATTTGCAAGTGTGTTCCGTCTACGGTGACAGAGAAACAAATATCGAGAGAGTATTTTAATAATTATTCATATTATTTCATAATACATGTATTCATATTCATATAATTTCATAAAAGATTACTTAACTTAAAAAAAACTAAATTGACATTGATACTCAATAATGTATGTTACACTTGGCCCCTTTTCACGTTAGACTGGACCCACATCCGTTATCCTTAGAACTAGCTATATAAAGAAATAACTGTACAGAAGGAAATATTACAACACCATCATTTACTTTTCAGTACCTGCAATTTGGACCAAAAACGCAAAGGAGAAGACATTCGCCATATCACATTGATATTTAATGCCATCATAGAACTGGTATACCAAGTTTTTATTAAATTTATTCTTTTATACACTGGCAGATTTTATAAATAAACCCAAGAAGTTTTGTTAAAACGTTATGTTTTACTATACGCTTATTTTCTTATCATGTGCAAATGTGTTGCGTCGTAAACTCTTACTTTTTAAGATATTCAGGGCGTCCATGGCCGAGTGTTTAATGACCCTGATTTTTATACACATGCTTCTCACCGCTATGGATTATAGTCCGACCAGAGTCCTTGAATTCTTTCATCAAACTAGCTAACAAAACATCGGTGCTTTAGCTCAGGTGTCCCGACATTGACGGTGTGATTTGAAACCCAGCATCTAAGATTGTTTTATGTAAATATTTTTTTACTCCACTTGCCTTCACTCTAAAAAGTGTAAATATCTTTGACCGTTTGATTTCAAATATTCGTTTTTCTTTAAAGGTCAATTATGCCTCTTAAATGATATCATTTTTATTTTTTTTTTAAAATTCTGTTTATTTTTGGTATCTTGTTACAGTTTCCGAAAACATACTCATTTGCTAGATACTCAAACTACCTTTTGCATCTTTGGTTCTGTTGGAAAATGGTATACCTTAAGTGAATAAGTATTTCGTATGGAAGTCAAACTACATGTACTACTTTGTTACATTTTGCTACCTTAACGACACATCACTTAATGTTCAGCGCTACCTTTTTCAGCTGTAATAAAATTCTATCATGCGTTTTATCCATTATTTAAACATTATGAAACACATGTTTGACATTTCTAAAGAATTAAAACAATATGGATTTCTGAGGCACAATGTGCCTTAATCATAACTTGTATCACTGTATCATTGTTTTTTTTTGTTTTTTGTTTTTTTGTTCTTGCGAATTCTTCAATATATTTTCATAAATTAAGTAACATAGTGACTAAATGTAACAATTACCGCCATATAAAAACATCAGCATTCAGTTAATAAACATCACCGTACCAAATAACAAGCAATTATATTTGTTCATCTTTTTTCTAGTTACAGTAAATGAGGGCAAAGACACACCTGAAACTGCAGAGGTCAAAGAACTACTATCGCAACAGAAAAATAACACTGAGTCGTGTTATATCAAATCCCATCAAAAGTTCATTTGATATATTATGATTACAACCAATTAAGCATTCGTTCTATAGACAAAAAAAGTGAAATATTTGATCTTGAATAATTGAAATAAGTATTTTCTATCTCTTTACATATGGACTTTAACTTTCTTTAAATGTATATGTATGCTAATGGAAACTGTGCGTGAAACTTACTATTTTGTTTTCGTGCGACTTACTATCCAGAAATTGTTCGTTTTACTTACTATACACTTGCAAAGAACATTTGTAGGCTACATACCTTCGAAAATATATTTTATATGGACTTCTATGATAACAGATGTCAATAAAATGATTGATTTTGTGTCTTAAGTGCAGAAAGTAAGCTTATTTTCCTTTATTTTGGTACCAAATTATATCGCTTCGTGCGAATTACTATCGCTGAATGTGCAATTTTCAACCAATTCAAACAATGTTCTCAAAAACCACAAAACGTAGGATAATGCACTTTGTATTGTCATTTGAAGAAAATTAACGCGCATATGATACGCTAGGTTTTGTTTTGATTTAAGAAACGTTTGTCACCTTAATTTAACATAATAAGGTACTTACCGGGGCTCAGCAGTCGCCATTTTCTCGTGGGTATTACTATACAAAGTCACGTGATTCCCCCCCGTGAGATTGCCCTTACCATACTTTAAAATCATTTTTACAATTAAATTAAAGTTATAAGATTAAAAAGTGACTTCATAGCCTTTTAAGCCTTAACTTGCTGTATTTCTTAAATGGACTTGCCCAGCTTCCATTTTAGGTATTGTCCATTATCAATTTTTTCCAAAAAATAGCCAGGTCAAACTGCCTGAAAGTGCATGCAGGCTGGTCTGGCTCTTAAATAGTAGCGCAAAGACTAATCATTTTTGGTTTCCACAGGTTTTATGTGTCATTAATAGATTTTAATTTTTGATACCAATTAAACACTGAATGTACTGTAAATTTTTCCAATTTTATTTTTCTCCTTTTCCCAATACAGATAGCAAGAAAGTTTATCAGTAATTTTAAAGCATATTTTATTGTTTTTACCTGATCTGCCAACTGGGCCCAATTATAATGGGGTTCATACATGTGTGGTGATATCACATAAGCTGCTTGGAAAAATGCTCGTGCCTGAAAAATAAGTGCAATTTAAATTACATTTTCTGATACAGCTTCAATAGCAACATATTTAATTTTACCAATGGTAGATATATGTTACCATGGCAATACATCTGCCAAAAGTGAACTTGCTAATAAGAATACATTGAAACCTATTCATTTCATAACATGTCAAAGCTTCAACTTTATGACAGTTCATATGCCTGAATTTTCACATTAAAGTTCAAGGCTGAAGCATAGTTTTGGTAAACATATTTTCCTTATATAGAAATATAAAATATCATATACGTATATATAATGTAGTAGAGTAGTGATAACACTTTAGGTATATCGTATACTGGTGTGTTTACATGTAAATCTGTATCAGATATCCAATCAGATTTTGATAAATGATCCAATATGAGATTTCAATTCCGGATTAATTTTACGAATAAAGACGTCCAACGGTGCACCTGTTGAGATGCAAACAATTCTAACCGTGTGCGGAATGCCGTCATACATTAAAAGGAGAGTGTGAACAATTAATCTACTGTTGAATATCATGGGCTTCTGGCTGGGGCACTGAATACTTGCTGTATTTAAGGGTAGTGTAAACACGAGACCCAGTGTAAGGCCGGGTATCGGGTATCCAAAGTAATGTTTTAGCATGTCAACATGCCTGTTGAAGTTATTAGATTTCCGTATGACATAAGTCATGTGCAGTCATTAATCTAACATGTTTACATAGAAAAATAAGCCCACTAAATTAATACAGAAATTTAAAACCTGCTATCCAATGCACTACTAGTGAATGGTAAAATGACTATGAAATTAAAATCTTAACAAAGTCTTCTTTTTTTGCATTAAACATGAAAGCTTAGACAAATTTATGAAGACCCCCAAAAATGATAACAAAACCTGACTTTGATAATAATAATAATCAAAGCTCACTTAACAGGTGAATTGCTTCCTATTTTGCAAAATCTATTTTTCAACCTTTGATTTAAGCATTCATTCATAAATCCATTTATAATTCTATATGCATACAATACTTCTGGAAAATACATCAAAACTATAAAAGTTATGGCTATTTCCTTAACAATACTCGCTAAAAAGTATGTCAGAGATCAAGCCCCATTGCCTACAACTGTCTCAGGCCGGACAAGAAGTCTGTCCAAGTCAATCAAATTTTGCCAGTCTACATCAATTTCTTCTCAGAAAATCTACATTAATTATAGATCTAATTAAGAACAATTTCTGTATGATTTATTGGGATTCCTTTAGTTATGTATTGATTACCTTTTATCCCACTAAATCTAAGCAATGGATTTCCTTTGTTTTGATTTCAGATCAATCAATAGTAACATTATACTAATACCCTGGTAATTAATATTTTTTTCCCTCTTAAAAAAGTGCAATTATTAGTTTTATACATTTAAATAATGGCTTTGGAGCATGTTAGATGCTTATCACCTGAAGAAAGTAGTTCTGAATGTTAAATTGTTTGTCATAAAAGTAGCAAAATGTAAACAAAGTAGTATTTTGACTTCCTTACAATAATACTAAATAACTTTAAACTGTTCTAATAGCTTATAGCAACAGAAGCAAAAGATGGTTCCGGTATTTCACCAATTATTAACTTTTTTGGACACTACAACACGACATCAAAAATAAAATACTTTTGTCAAGTAAAAATAAAAACACTTCTGGGGCATAATGGGCCTTTAAGGGATCTCATAAAACCCTGAGTAGTAAAAACTTACTGTACAGAATCTGCCACAGCTGCATGGACATGCAGGCTGATCTGGCACAGCGATTAATTTCATTAGCTCTCAGATAAAAATAAAGAAAATAGCCAAATCACTGAAACCACACAAAGTGGGAAATGAATCAGCAGAAATATTCATGACTCCAGAGTAAATTTATATTTCTTAAATTATTTAGTGAAATCCAATCTGTTTTTAATACTGAGCATCAGTATGATAAGATTTCTAATATCTGGGTCAAAAAACAAGATAATAATATTTTGAACTCTTCCTTGGATAGAAGTACATACAATGTGACTCAACTATATCAGATAATGTTCTATTCAGCACTTTTCACATAATAGAATAGGAAATTAAATCATGTATCATTAATTTGTCATATCTATTTGGGCTTCTGCATGCTATGATACATTAGATAGGCAGACCTTGTTCATTCATTTCATATTACATTTTTCCAAAACATTTTACTAAAAAAGAATGAAATGTATGCAAATCTATTTTCAGTATCAGTGACCTTGACCTAATCAACATTGTAACCCTACCAAAGAATAGAGGTTCATGTAAGGTACCAACACACCAAATATCTGAGATACTTGTCAATAAATTTGAGATGCTATGAGAAATGGCAAGTAAGGTTTAAAATGGCAAAGCAGTAAATAAAATTATATGCCAGTGAATAATTTTGTTGAGAATAAAACATCAAGTCCTACAAGTACTTTCATATTTATTGGTATACAAAACTTTCCTTCATCCCGCCAAAATTGCCCTTAAGAAACCAAAAATTCATATACAATACACAAACACTTTAAAGCTGCATGTCATATTCATGCTTATTTTCATGAAAATTTTGAAATTTTAGTCACGCAGTAAAAGTATGGTGATAAATAATGCCAAATCAGTCATTCATTTCATATAAACCATTACTCAAATTATGAATATTTTTACATTTCTTAAAATCTTTTTTTTTTCTGTTTTGAATTTTTTTGCTCATGTGAAAATACCAAAATAACTTTAGTAGAAAGACATTTTTGCATCATCAAGTAAATCAATCAATAATGGAGAAAAAAGTTTTGTTAAGGCAGGAAAATTCATTCAAATTGAGGATGAAATATATGAATTTTCCCTATAAATCCTTTATAATTCCTGCATCAATCTTCAGTATTGTTAAGGATAAAATATGGAGATTTCTTTTATTATCGCTTTCTAACTCCTTATTCCATTGTCAGCGTGTCCTTTCACGCCAAATACTCATAAAAGGTCAAAAGTCAAGTCGGTGGTAAAGTAGTACCAATTACAGCTTCACATGCAGGCTGATAGGGGCTACCCAATCCATCAGTCTTAATTCTAAGTGATTTCCAATTTGTCATTAGTCATCTATTATACTCAGATGTTCATCATACAATACCAGTGACCAGCAGCAGACGGCTGTACATGATCATTAAATAACCACAATTCCTAATAATCAACCCAAAGGATCATCTTTAAACACAATTACCAGAAACTAAATGGTAACTCTAGAAATGTTAATATGACAACATGTAGGAAGGGAGTAATTTAAGAGACATGAAATTATATTGCTGTCAGAACAGTGACAAGATTTACAAGAAGGCATCAAGGAAACCATTCTTCTGGTTTATGATACTGGAAGATAAAGTTTGGTTAACTTACATGTAAAAAAGGACGTGAAATTTTGTCAATTTAATATCACATTCAAGGTAGGAAAAAATAATTATTATTTTGATTTGAAAAATAAAGTTATATGACATACTTTTAAAAAACCTTGTGTGTTGAGCATGACCAATCAATCATCAATGGTTCACTATAAAATCATATATTTAGAGCTGACAAAAATGGTACTTTTGTACAAATTTCAAGTGAGCAGCCTCAGCAGCGCCTTTTTTATAAGATATAACAAGGCATCAAGGAAACCATTCTTCTGGTTTATGATACTGGAAGATAAAATTTGGTTAACTTATTACATGTAAAAAAGGACGTGAAATTTTGTCAATTTAATATCACATTCAAGGTAGGAAAAAATAATTATTATTTTGATTTGAAAAATAAAGTTATATGACATACTTTTAAAAAACCTTGTGTGTTGAGCATGACCAATCAATCATCAATGGTTCACTATAAAATCATATATTTAGAGCTGACAAAAATGGTACTCTTGTACAAATTTCAAGTGAGCAGCCTCAGGAGCGCCTTTTTTATAAGATATAACAAAATCTGTGATGTATGAAAATAATCATTTGGCCAGGAGTAGAAATTAACTATGAAAACAGTTGGTTCTATCTAATCAGTGTATTATCCAAAGAATACCTGCCAAAGCAATAAAGAGCCAAAGTGTTCTATAATCAACCTTATCTGAAGATAATAAAGCATATGATGAGTGAACTGATACACCATCTGGCTGGGTTTTCATCTCAGAAACAATAACTAAATTATAGTAATATCTTACTGTCAGTACAACACTTTAATAGATGGTAAACAATATGAATATCATATTCCTTAACCCTTACCATGCCAATTTCATGTATATATCAAATGGACTTTTCAGGAAAAGTAAGACAAAATGGTTTGTTCAAGGTCTGGCAGGATTTGGTAAGGGTGAATGAGATTACTTATTTAGAGGTTGATAGATGACCTTCATTTGTTTGTGAGTCAGGGTAATGGTGAGGAATCTTTTATCCTTACCAAAACTTGTAAGCCCATTTTTTACCCTCTGACCAATCTACAATTTGTGGGCTAAGAAAAATTGTTAACCAATACCCAAATTAAATATTCTAAGCACCTGAATCTGTTTGAGAACCTGCATGAAATGAATAATAGTATTTATTTACCCTTACCACAATCAACAAAGCCCATAATAAGCACAATGTTAACCAAAACACTAATCAACTATTATTAACCCACGTATATACAAAATGACTACATGTCATTTCAGAATAATCACTTAAATATGGTGTTATCTACAACTTAAAAGAATTTTCTCATCATTTAAAGTACTAATACATATACAACTACATGCCAAGTATCACCTTCCCTCATTAATCACAAAGTACATTAGTCCATTTAAAGTCAGAAAATTTGTACTAAAGTAGGAGTACTGACCAAAGCAGTACACCATAAACCACAACTCTTTGATACCATCAAAATATGGATATACATTATACAATTAACAGCAATCATGTAAAACATAATTAACAATGGGAAAACAATCTACATCAGTACACTGTGGTTGACTGACATGAAGATACAACTTCCTATGGAAATATCAACTTACAACTTGCACATGCATTTAATGAAATACAAAATTAATGATCTTTTATTTTTAAAGTTCACATAATTCATTCTTTGTAATTTAAAGTTAAGATGACCAATGAACCCTTCAGAGTTCCAAAAAGTGCAAGACTGCCCTTATTTTCAAGTCAAACACTGCCTGTATCTAATAAAGTGGACAAGAAATATTAAGTGAAAAGAATTCATTCTTGTAATTTAAAGACATGATATAATTCTCCTTCTAAATTCTAAAATTCCGAAACTGTCCTTATTTTCAAGTCAATCACTGCCTGTATCTAATAAAGTGGACCTTTAGGCCTTTACCTAGTTATTCATGCTCGCCCATATGGTTCATTCCGGAGGCAGGGGGGGGGGGGGGGGAGAAGGTAAATAAACCAAACAAACACCTAGTTATTTAGATAAATCCTTTCTCTAGAACTTTCTCTGTGCCTATTTAATATGAAGCATTCAACCATAAATTTTTAAGGATAACTGAAATATTAAAATTGGATCAGCCAACAATAAAGTCTTCTTTGGCCCGAGTCTATACTTCACTTTATACTTGTGGCATATTATATTATTATCTAATGATGCTGACCACACAAAAAGGCTTTTTCTACAGTAATCCCTGAACTGCGATTCTAGTATGAGAGTGAATATCAAATTGAGTTCTATACACAGATACTGAGATGCCAACCAAAGGGAGGCAAATATGTTTTTACTCTTTCAAAAAAATAATATGGCTACAATTTGTTACATCCACTCAAATGAACATTCGAATCAAATATAAATACATCATTTATAAGAATATAGTTTATACTGTAAACAAATCAATATTTAATGAAAACTCAACTCTAAAAACATAGAAACAATTAAGAATAGACATTTCTACAATGTAAATTGAAAGAAACAATTAAGAATAGACATTTCTTCAATGTAAATTGAAAGAAACAATTAAGAATAGACATTTCTATAATGTAAATTGAAAGTGAGACACAAAAACAGCAAATCAGTTTGATTACAAGCAGAACTTATTCCATGATAAAAATGTGAAGAAGCAGTTTCAAAATAAAGTGTTTGTTTCAAACATAAAAATTTATTTCAGAATTGTATCAGTGAAAATGACAGATTTATACCCCCACACAGTGCATTGGCAATGAAAATGATACTAAGGGATGCTCTAAAATTTGTTCATATCATACTACCAGGTACATGACTATAAAAGTAAGTTTCTATAGCAACTAGAATCTTATGGCAGTATAAAAATCTTTGGGAAATTTTCAAAGTATATTTATAATATTGTATATATGAACCATCAGATGCAAAGTTTTCAGCCACAAGCAAAAATAACGCAACTGGTGTTCATGTCTGCTTTTTAACAATATCAAACATAATTAACAAACAAATTTTCTATTGCGTTTATGCTTTTTTAAGGTTTTGATTTGTTTTTAGTGATTTTTGCCCAGTAAGGGGTCATATTCTCTCCTTTGTCATCAAATCATGACATCCTTATTAAAATAATTTTGTAAAATGCATCTTTTTTTATTCATGATGTAAGTCACATGGCGACATTCAAGCTTTACTAGTGGAGGAAGACCTCAAGTGCCACTCAGTGCTTTACTTTATGCATAAGCTGGCACCTGAGTAAAACCACAAATGTTCTGTAAGCTTGCTAGATAGTTTCTGCCATTCATTATTTTTTATGATATATGATTTTTATCCACATTCAAATATACTTATAGTGCAGTGACATTACATTTTGATAATTCTATTGTGAAATTACGACAATATACTTCATTGTTATATTCGGCATAAAAGGTACTGTATACTCAATTCAAAATCAAATTGAGGAAAACTTGATAAAACAATGACACTGTGGGGGTATAAATAAGTTACACCAAACTTGCCTGGTTAGAGGTATGCTTTATAGAATGAATCACAAATTATTACAACGTGTAAAACATTTAAAAAATATTAATGATATCCAGAAAAGACAAACATTTAAAACATATTAATGATATCATTAAGAGTTGTCCAGAAAAGACAAACTGTTATGCTTACATATATAAACTTGTGCATGTATCACATATACAAAGATTTTACAATTTACTGGTGGGGGGGGGGGAGACCACAAATGACCCATAGTTCATGGCTTAAACGACGACTGGGTACAACAACCAACCTTATATGAAAGAAACCAAATTCTCTGTTGGGAGTCAAACCCACACCAGTATAGACTAAGGGATAAGAAGTCAGTAACCAAGGTACTTGTCCGCTGAGGCTTCATTTAAATTATTTTCTATCACTACATGTGTAACAAATTTACAAATTAAAGATTAAAATATATTATTGCATACATATTGACATATATATTATTGAACAAATATTGACATATTAATAAACAAGTTAAAAAACATCTTTATTCTTTGAAATTCAATGTTTATTTTAAGTAAAGTCATTTATATACATGTACTGACTTAAAATGTTTTTCTGCTTACCTGCTCCTTGTAAGTACAAGTACTAAGTTATAATTATCACTTAAGGATAGTAAATGTACAATGCTACATTTTTTAGAATGGAGACCAATATTTTTGAAGTGTAACTGTTTGTTTAAGAAACCTTTAAACTAAGCAACAAGCAGAGTATCACCCTAGATGGTTAAAGAAAAAGGATCTTCTGAGCTAATGGAACGAAGTGGGAATAAACAGTATTATGTTTATTGTTAAAAAACAACAACATTTTTTTCAATAAATGTTCAAGATCAAGACAAAAAAATCAGGGATGTTAAAGGGACTCCACTGAGGTTTTTTGACATGATGGGACTGAAAATATTTTTTCCCAGATAAATGTACCATTTGATGTAGGTGTAGACCACGAATCTTTGTGCAAACTTTCAGATCATTCGCACACTTTGTTTTTCCATAATATTTTTTCAAATTGTAAAGAAATGACCCAAAATGAAAAGCGTTTAAACGCTTTTCATTCAAATTAGGCTAAGAAAAGCATAAAACTATGATTTTCGATTTATTTTAAGGTATATTTCTTAACTATCTTTGCATATATTTCTGTTTAAAGCGCCCCAGTTCATTTATGTAAGAAATTCTAATTTTATGTTTTTAGGCTTTTAAACCTCAGTGGAGTCCCTTTAAGTGGTATAAACCATCAAGGCATATTAAATTCTAAGTTTTTTGTTAATAATAATTATAATATTTCAACTAATTTCTAGCCTTTATCAGGTACTAAAAACTTAGACCTGAAACTTACCATATCAACATGTCCTTTCCTCATTTCAAGAACACCTAAATTATTATAAGCTTCAGCATGGTCATTGTTATTAGAAAGAGCCAATCGGAATGCCTGGTACGCAAGCGTCATATCTCCGATACCCTGAAATAACAATAGTTAAACTATAGTATTAACTTGCTCAAACAAGGCAGATGTGAAAAAAAAATCTTGCCTTGACAAAAGTTAGTATTCTAAATATTGATAGCCACATTGGGTCAAACCTTGTCAGGGTAAAGTTGTTGTTTCCTTGAACAATAAACTTTACACTCATTGCACAGTACTGGTAGGTTCAAGGAATGGATTCATTAGAGTCTTTATAAGCTTATAGCTTCTTACACAGTCATACTAAAATAAATTCTGTTTTAACTACGACATAAGTTTTAAATTTTATATACATATTTTTCTATAAAGAAAACTTGTTTAAGTATTCTCATACCAAAAATTCTTCTTTCAGAGCTACTGCAAACAATGATCATTATTTTTCATAATCATGGTACTTGAATAACTAGACCTGATGATGATCAAAGTAATTGAGTCACTGGTCATTCATGAGGTCACCGGCATCATATTCCAATTATGGAGTATATCACTAACATCAAACATGAAGATCCAATTATTAGTGTTATAGGACCTTCCTGTATTTCTCAATATCACAAGACCTTATTATTTAATCAGTCATATCCCTTGACAACAGAATATGACTGTGTTCTTTGCAACAGACTGTTTATTGTAAACAGCCATTAATGGTGTTATAAGGCCAAAAAAATGTCTGTTCTTGGTTTCCTCTACAGAAATAATTAAAGTACTAAAAGAACTATTGCAGTAAGTGTGACTGATGTGTATGGCCATTCACTAACAAGACTAGCATTTGCTTTTCTTTTTTTTTCTCTGAGTCATTTTGTGTATGCATTTTATGTAAATTCCTGTACATGGCAGGGACAAACAATACAGTACTAGACTTCAAATGTACATTTTAATATCAAGCTTGTTCCAATTATAGCAAAAACACTGTTAATTTACAGTAATTTGACCTTCAAGGTCAAGGTAATTTATAGGTAAAGGTCAAATTGAGTTTTATCTTTTTTCAAGACATTGTCTTTAATTTTAAGACATTGTCCTTAAGGTAATTGTGAAAAGTATGAAGACAATCCATTCATAGAAAACAAAGTTACAGCCCAATCATAGCAAAAATCAAGCAAAATTCATTAATTTGACCTTCAAGGTCAAGATTATTGATGAGTGATGGTCACCAACAATTTGGTCTACTTCTTAAAGGTTTTGTCCAACAAAGGATTATTGTGTTCAAGTATGAAAGCAATACATTCATAAATATCACAGTTATAATCAGTTATAAAAAAAATCAATCTGATGTTGACGGTCAAGGTCATTTATGAGTCAATGTCAATTTCAGTCTGGTCTACTTGAAGGTCTTGTTCAAGGGGTTGTTATGTCTAAGTATGAAGACAATCCGATTGAGAAATAGCAAAAAATAATGGCCAATTTCTAAGATTTTCGGGCCGCAACAGCAAAGGCATAAGCAATGGGAACGGACCACATGACTGTGGCAATAGTTGTTTCTTTTTTTTTGTGTATTTGTGCTCCACTAACTAAAGCATTTTTTTTAAACAGAAAAATGAATAATTTAGATTTTGAAACTTCTGATGTTAGAAATCTAAGGCCGATTGTAAAACAGCAAACTGATATATTTTTTTCCCCTTTGAGTTGATTACAATGTCATGTACTTTATATCAGCATAAAAGAAAGATTTATCACAGCAACTTGATTTTAGCAAGAACACCTTTTCTGTATGCAGTCACACAGAGTGTAAACATTCCTAATGGAATGATGCATTAACAGTAATTTACTTCATGAATAAACCTAATTGTTTGACAAATAATTCATATGGAAAACAATTAATGGGACTCGGAAAAATTTTAAGCCTTCCTAACAAGCACTTAATTTTGTGTCCACCCAATATTAAAAATATCTCATGATTACAGTAAAATATTGTTAAGTGAGAAATATTTTGTATGCTTTGGTTAAAAAAAAATAAAGTGTGTTTTTTATAACACTTGTAATTTGGATTGTTAGAAATGCACTGTATATTAAATATCATAACATCTGAAATAAGAATACAGGAAAAAAAAGTTCTCTTTTTTTTAAAAAACCTCACAAGAAGTTTTTTATTCACTAATATTGACAATGTTACATTGTCCCAGTCTGATACAGTTAATTAATTTTTGCAGTGTGACACAGCTGCAGAAGGGTTTAAGAGCTCTGCCCATAGCCAAAATCATTTCTATTTATAACTTTCTTTCACAAGAAATCTATCTTAAGATCTTGTTATTTAATTTGTCTTTAATAGTAGGTTACGGTTATTATACAAAGAGGAGAAACTTGCCCTTCAAGTAATTGAGTAATAAGTAAAATAAAATTTATTGAAAAATAATATATAGTTTTTGAGTAGAATTTTTTTTAAAAAGTTGTCTGTTTAATATTTACATGCAGCAAACTAGTATCTAGAGGACATGATTTCATTATCAAAGTATTTTTAAGGGTTGTTCAAAAAAATTTTGATGAAATTATTCAAAATAAGAATACATTTTGCATAACAAGTTTTTTTTAAGATCACGTTTCTGTGGCAATAAAAACTATAATTCTGAATGGAATAAAATTCTTTATAATTATGAAAAGAAGTTACTTAAGAATCGATTCTGTGATTTTTTTTTTGTTGATTTCTTTATTTCTTAATTTCTATGTATTTATTTATTTTTTCATTTTATTTATTTATTTATTTAATTTTTTTGCCACTTTGGTGCAAGACTGGAAGTTGTTTAAATGACTAAAAACAGGTAAATAATGTCATAATAAAATGAGACAAATCAAAATAGCAAGCTGCAATATTGAGCACATGGTGCTCATTCGAACTAAATAAAAATTTCATAACCTAAATTTAATGTAACTTCAATATTGAATCCCATTCCATCAAGTATTCTAACATGAAATTTCTGCGTATAGTAATAACACCTTATCTTATTACATCCTAAATGAGTCATTATCACTTTTATTAGGAGTCATGTGACTATTTAGTATTGGCAAAATTACTCAGTGGTATGCCTGCATTAGCGCTATACTTCAAACCTAACGTAATTAAATTTCATCTGCTCTAGGGAATCGGGAACAGTCAAGACTAATAATACAGTAATGTAACACAACATGAAAGCAGTTTTCATCCAATGATATCAGGTTAATTTCTACTGTCTTTTTTTTCTTTTAAATGACAAATCATGAGTAATGTTAAGTGATGTCATGTTTGTGAATGACTTCAATGCAGGAAGAAAAAAAACTCTAGTAGTTTCATGTTTTCATCGTTACTACCTTAATGCATTACATGATGTAAAGACATTAAAATTCAATGGATATGAAATTAATGCCCTGCAGAATTTAAGTAACAGACTTCCTCTGCTTTCAAACTTTTTGATAGTAATTTTAGAATTTCAATATCTAAATGCTTAAATTCAGCAGCCAACAAAAAAAAAAGAAAAAAAAAGAAACTGGTCTGGGTTGTCAAAATCTATTGGTTGTACCAATGTCTTACCAAAAACAGGAATACCCAAGTAAACAGAACAGTTCTCTTTATTATAAACTACATGTATTAAAGCTACATGCCTCCAGATGAGTCAAAATATTTCAATAAAATCAAATTTGAGAAAAAATTACTAAGATGTAAGGAAAAGTGAAAAGTTCCAAGATTCAAGTAATATTTTGCTTATAATGTGCGATTTATGACTGATTTTTCAGTATCTACATCTATATTTCTACTGCGTTACAAACGCAGTAAATGCCATTTATGCATATTTTGACATTTTTTGGTAATTTACGTGGTTTGTAAGTGCTATTGATAATGTGAAAATTGCATCTTTTTGGTTACTATACATTATTACACATTCAAATATATTTCCAAAATTTTCATGAAAATTAGAATGAATCTGGAGGCGTGCTGCTTTAAAATCTAGCTAAAAATTTAATCCATGCAAAAATATAATTAATATATGGATGATATTTTACATAAAAATGTTTCAGCATGCATCCCTTTCTTCTATAAACTTTGCCTATAATGAAGTCATTTATAACTGAAAAGCTATGAGCTCAGCTCTACAAATTAAATTTTTCACTGAAGTTTTCCCCTTCTCTTATGCTGAAAGAGATTCTATCATATATGCTTGTAAAGGGGACTAATCAACAAAATGAGTACCAATATAACCAATAATTTCTTTTTTAAAAATATACTCTAAAATCATAAGCAAGGCTAAAATATTGTGAAAATTCATTTCCTTAAGTGGTTTGCCAAATCAAATGGTGAAGGTCACTTGTAAAAGCCAGTACTGACCAAGAAGTTTAATCTAATCCACCAATGTGCATTGTACACTTATTAATTATATAAATTAATCATATAACTGTACCTAGATAATGGTATATCAAAACGACAGTCTTTCATTCACACCATTAAAGTAAAACGTAGAAAGTCCTTTATAATAGCAGGAATGAACCACTGTTTAAAGTCTGATTTTCAACACTTAAAAAAAATATAAAAATAAAAATCTCACTCACCATTGCAATGTGTCCTATATTAAACCAGATTTCAGACACTGTGTTTTCATCGGCTAAATTTAGAGCTCTTTCAAAACAAGTTAATGTCATGTCATACTGTTGTGCATAAAAACAACATAAACCTAGATTATTAAATAGTTCTGCATTGTAAACACCCATCTGTAACAGGCGCCTGAAAAAATAAGATAAAAAAAGAAATGTAGACATAGATATTTTGAAGCATAATGTAGTAACATTTGACCGATTTTAGAAATATCATGTAAAGTTAACTTTATACAGATCAAATCTACAACTTCTAGCTTTGAGGGATTCAAATTTACAATCTTTAGGGATCCAAATATAAAATCTCTTAGAGAATTTAAAACGTACAAACTTAACAACTTCTATGGATTCAAAAATTTAATACCTCCATGGATTAAAATTTACAACCTTAAAGAAAATTCAAATTTATTGCCTCTTAAGAATTCAAATTTACAACTTAAAGGGATTCTAAAGAATTCAAATTTACAACTTATAGGGATTCTAAAGAATTCAAATTTACAACTTATAGGGATTCTAAAGAATTCAAATTTACAACTTATGGGAATTCTAAAGAATTCTAATTAACAACTTATAGGGATTCTAAAGAATTCAAATTTACAACTTATAGGGATTAAAATCTACAATCTCCAAGGACGCAAACTTGTTACCACTAGGAATTTAAATTTACAACATCGAGGGATTCAAAACTCAAAACTTGAAATCTTCAGACGTAATGTTGTTCCCAGTAAGCTAACGGGCTGCCAAAAAGTCAAAACAAAATTCTACCTGTAAAATTTAAGTGCCACCTCTGGTTGGTCAGTATAAAAATGATGAGTTGCTATACAGGCTATAGCTTCTACATGCATGTTGTCGTATCTCAAAACATCTTTATAAAACTTCACAGCATTGTCCATCTCATTCAAACCCTGAAAATGTTCACTATAAATTTCAGCATTCAAATTATGGTTCATAATGGTGACTGATCAGTTGTCCCAATCTGTAGAAGTGGCATTTTCTTGTCTTACCATAGCAATACTATGAAAGTACTATGGTGACATTTCAGTCTTTTTTGTGTGCATGTGTGTGCTTTTTTTGTATGTGCATTTTATTTTTGGTTCATGGACATCCAAAATGTCAGTCTAGGGTATTTTTTAAAGGTACTGGCAGGCATACAGGTAGAACCTATGACCATCTGCACGCTATACGAATATCGGCCTTACATATTAAATAAAAGTTCCCTTCAATGACTGGATTTAAACCTATAACGGTGAAAATGATGTAATAAAATTGAATCAGGTCAACAAAATTTTTAAAAGAATTCATATCAACATTCACTTTTGTAATTTGTAGTTTAAAAAAATAAAATAACATAACTTAAAATGGAATGTCCCTTTATAAACAAATTGCACTAACCCACATTTCTATTAGTTCTATTAATTTTCTCTTTTTCTCCCTCTACATTCCTCAAAGTCCATACTCTCTTTATAATACATGTACAAACATAAAAAAATGACGCAAAACTTTATAACTTTACTCACATGTCAGAACATTTAAGAGTTAGAATTCTGCCATTTATATTGTATTAGCCCTTAACCTGTTGTAAATAACTTCTGCCACCAATATAGCGCTGGGCCAGCATGCATATCTGTGCAGTCTGATCAGGCTCTATATTAGAAGTAGCTCAATTTTTGTATTTTAATACTGAAATCCCTCAAACATTGAATGGACTGTTCCAATTTTAAATCAGAGCAAATCCATTACACAAATACATGTATGAATATGTGTACATTGCTTTACTTAAGTCGCTGTGGGTTCTGACACAGAAATTGGATTCTTTCATGTGAGAAAGCTTTCCAGCTAGCTTACAGAATGTTGGTGGTTCTACTCAGGTGCCCATTCCTACTTGAAATTATGCACGGAAGGGCACCAGAGGTCTTCCTCCACCAGTAAAGCTGGAACGTCGCCAGATGACCTATACTGTGTTGGTGTGGCGTAAAACCCATCTAAACAAACAAGCATTACTTTCATGCAAAAATTCGCATTATTTACCTCGTATATTCTTGCTATACCAGACATGAGACTAGTCTCCCCCTGAAATTTCTCTAACCCTTGTTTATAGAAGTCTACAGCAGTTAGAGGCTGGTCCAGACGTATATAAACTTTACACAGGTATAGATAGGTATCAATCATGTCCTGATGTTTTAACGCAGATTTCAGCTGTTGTTCTGCATCACGATACATTCCTAGTCTGAAAAATTAAAATACAGTTCAATTAGTCATAAGACTAAGCCTAAAATTGCCAATAATTATGCAATCATCTGATGTATAATTTTTTTAATAATGATCATATTTGTTAAAAAAAAAATTGCTGATATAATTCTGTATACTGTGATATTGGGTCTTTTGTACATAGAAATAATGGGACAATTTCAAAGGATGTAACATTGTGACATCTGAAAGAATAGTTTATACAAATATAAATAATCCTACATGTTTGTGTCTGTATAGAGAAAAGCTGATAAATAAGACTGTTTATATTAAGGATACGGCTGGTCTATTTGCAGCACTATTTGCCTTGTGAAGAAAGACAATTTTCCTTGTGAATGAAGACAATTTTCCTTGTGAAGAAAGACAATTTGCCTTGTGAAGGAACGCAATTTCGTCAATTTGCCTTGTGAATGAAGACAATTGCCTTGTGAATGAAGACAATTTGCCTTGTGAAGGAAGACAATTTGCCTTGTGAAGGAGACAATTTGCCTTGCTTACTTTTTTGCTCATTCACTATAATGATTAATTTTATGCACCATCAGAATATTTCAGTTTTTATACCTATAGTAACATTTTGCTAGCTGTACTTTCCACCACCAATCTTTAAACTGACTTGCTTCAGTTGCCAAGGCTGCTAGTTCTAGTGCCTAAAACAATAAAACAATTTTTAACTCATTCAGGTGTGCATTTCCTTACTATTTGGTTTCATTAATATTCTAAACACTTTGTATCAATGAATTTATAATTTAACCACAAATCACAACTTTTAATGGTTAAATACATGTATGAATGGGTTATGTTATAATTTTCACCTTATTTGTCAAGGTTTTATATATGATTGTACCTATGTTTTTGACATCATTTTCAAGGTGTGTTATGTACTTATACAATTAACCTATGTTTTTGACATCACTTTCAAAGTACTGTATGTACTATCATATACGACATCATTTCCAATGTGTTTTATGTACTAAACTGGAAACTTCTGACACCATTTTCAAGGTGGTATACATACTTAAACTTTTAAACTCACATTTTCAAGGTAAGTTATGTACTTAACAATTAACCTATATTTCTGACATCATTTTCAAAGTACTGAATGTACTTTAACTATAAACTAACATTTATGACTTCTGACATCATTTTCAAGGTATTATATGTAAATAAACTTAAACTTACATTTCTGACATCATTTTCATGGTGAAATATATACTCAAACAGAGCTTTAGCAAGTCCAGGTCTCGCTGAATATTTGGACATATTTATACGAGCCAGATTTATAAATGGTCCATCAGGGGTTGACAGCATAGAAGCCTGTAAAAATAAAGATTTTTAAAGTTTTAACAACAAAACTTTTAATGATGTGATCATTTTGTGATATTGTTTTATTTTTTATTTCATTTTAAGCAATTATAAGCATTAATGTCTGCATAAATATTGGGGGAGGGGGTATTTTTTAACTTTTTTTTTTTACAACTTAAAAATATTTTCTGTTACTGATCATATTTTTTAACAAAATAATTGAGATAAAATTATCTCAAGCAACATTTTATCAATTTATGAAAAGCAAAGTTAATTAAATCTTCTATAGACAGCATTTTATGTGTTGTAAGAACATGATGCTGTGGACCATGAATGTATTGAATGAGAAGAATATCAAGAGGATTTTTATGAACAATATCATTCCAATTAAAATTATTTATATGCAACTTTTGCCTTAAATGGCCATGCCAAAATGTTTGAATTATATTTATTTTATGTTAGGAACTGATTCTGTACAGACCTTAACCTTAAACAATGATTACCAAGGTTTAACTTACAGTTCCCAGCCTGACATATCTCCCTGATGCGCTGGTTACTGGCCTTGCTGTGTGAGCTGTACGAGGAGTTCTTATTGCCTGTTCCATGGTTCCCGGCCTACCTGACTGAGTACCAGGCCTGGCAAAACCAGTAACAGGTCTACCAGACTGGGACATGGGTCTGAAATACAAAATTAATCTTTCAGTGAATCTGCTAGTAATACAAGATGGTTTAGAATGATAACATGCTACAGTAAGAAGTACATTTCAAAATGAACATTCAGAAGAATTCAGAACTCTTAACTTCTCTGAACATATATTAAAGGAACTCCACTGAGGTTTTAAGGCATAAAAACATAAAATTTGAAAATTTTTGCAAAAAGCAGGATGAGGAAATGAGCTAAAAATTTGCACACAAGTAAGACCAAAATCAATTGATCAATAAATCACAGAAAAGTATTTTCCATCCCATCATGACTGAAAACCTCAGTGGAGTCCCTTTAAGAAGATTACATCAGAAATGAAAATGATGCTAAATATCACGAAAATTTGATAAATACAATCACAAAAAAATTACCTGACTCCCTGACTAACTCCTCCTTGACCAGTGCCTGGCTGACGGAGGGATGTTCCCGGTCGTGCTACTTGTGCAGTGACATTGTCGTCCATTAACATTTCTGCTATACCCTCTTCATCCCAGTCCACTTCATCAACATATACCTGCCCTGTCAAAGCTCGAGTTTTCAGAGTCCATGCAGCCTAATACATCAAAAATACATGCATCCCAATTAATGTACTGGTATTGCTATGTGAAGTAAGTGATAATACAACAGTATGTAATAGATAATAATTTACACAAAGCAAATAACTTCAAAAAAAATTCTGGCTCTGCTATGACTTAATTTCTCTCTTCTTTTTACAAAAACTGTCCTTAATTATATTATTATAACAATGAAGATTATAATTTGGTGAAAGCGTTAAAAGACTTTCTACATATATCTTAAATTAATCAAAAGTTATTATTTAACCCATTACTTCATGAGCATTTTGTGAAAAATGGCTGTTTTCATTGAAAAGTCTCCCGTTACAAGTTCAAATTGCTATAATACTATAAAAACTGCTTCAACACTAATCAAACTTGGCACAAATGTTGACTGGACCATTGCCCTTGCAACAACATGCTCAGACTTAAATTTCCTGTTACCATGGCAACGAGGGGACATCTCAAAATTGCCAAAAATCACTATTTTGCGTTGATTTTTTCCATCATAATTGATTTCAAAGTGCTGCAACTTCTCAATGGATTGAGATAGAGTCAAATGCATTTCAGCGTTGGTTAGACGTTACCTTATGATCAATCTGGGGTCATTTATAGCCTCTCACAAGTCCAAAATTTTCTTGGCGATGAGGGGGACTCCGCCCCCCTTCAAACCCCCCAAACAGAAGGGGGCACATCCCCCTTCTGGCAACCCCCTGATGTATCTTTTGGTTGGGGGGCCGCGCCGAAAAAGTGGTCACTTTTTTTAACAACATTTCTCAAACAAAAACAAGTGTTAAGGGCCTAAATAATGCATTTTTTCACCATTTGAGACAACAAAAAGGGGGGGGGGGTGAAAAAGGCGTTAAAAGGCGTGTATATGAAGTAATGGGTTAACAGAAAATGATGAAAATACTTGAAATTACTCTAAATTGCGTTTTTCCATGTTTAAACATGGCCTGTCATATAAATTTGAAGAAAAATTGTTGTTTTGTAGATTTTTTTATTTTTTTCATTAACCCATTACTTCATGAGCATTTTGTGAAAAATGGCTGTTTTCATTGAAAAGTCTCCCGTTACAAGTTCAAATTGCTATAATACTATAAAAACTGCTTCAACACTAATCAAACTTGGCACAAATGTTGACTGGACCATTGCCCTTGCAACAACATGCTTAGGCTTAAATTTTCTGTTACCATGGCAACGAGGGGACATCTCAAAATTGCCAAAAATCACTATTTTGCGTTGATTTTTTCCAACAAAATTGATTTTCAAAGTGCTGCAACTTCTCAATGGATTGAGATAGAGTCAAATGCTTTCAGCGTTGGTTACACGCTACCTTATGATCAATCTGGGGTCATTTATAGCCTCTCACAAGTCCAAAATTTTCTTGGCGATGACGGGGACTCCGACCCCCTTCAAACCCCCCAAACAAAAGGGGGCACATCCCCCTTCTGGCAACCCCCTGATGTATCTTTTGGTTGGGGGGCCGCGCCGAAAAAGTGGTCACTTTTTTTAACAACATTTCTCAAACAAAAACAAGTGTTAAGGGGCAAAAAAATGCATTTTTTCACCATTTGAGACAACGAAAAGGGGGGGGGGGTGAAAAAGGCGTTAAAAGGAGTGTATATGAAGTAATGGGTTAACAGAAAATGATGAAAATACTTGAAATTACTCTAAATTGCGTTTTTCCATGTTTAAACATGGCCTGTCATATAAATTTGAAGAAAAATTGTTGTTTTGTAGATTTTTTTATTTTTTTCATTAACCCATTACTTCATGAGCATTTTGTGAAAAATGGCTGTTTTCATTGAAAAGTCTCCCGTTACAAGTTCAAATTGCTATAATACTATAAAAACTGCTTCAACACTAATCAAACTTGGCACAAATGTTGACTGGACCATTGCCCTTGCAACAACATGCTCAGACTTAAATTTCCTGTTACCATGGCAACGAGGGGACATCTCAAAATTGCCAAAAATCACTATTTTGCGTTGATTTTTTCCATCATAATTGATTTCAAAGTGCTGCAACTTCTCAATGGATTGAGATAGAGTCAAATGCATTTCAGCGTTGGTTAGACGTTACCTTATGATCAATCTGGGGTCATTTATAGCCTCTCACAAGTCCAAAATTTTCTTGGCGATGAGGGGGACTCCGCCCCCCTTCAAACCCCCCAAACAGAAGGGGGCACATCCCCCTTCTGGCAACCCCTGATGTATCTTTTGGTTGGGGGGCCGCGCCGAAAAAGTGGTCACTTTTTTTAACAACATTTCTCAAACAAAAACAAGTGTTAAGGGGCAAAAAAATGCATTTTTTCACCATTTGAGACAACGAAAAGGGGGGGGGGTGAAAAAGGCGTTAAAAGGCGTGTATATGAAGTAATGGGTTAAAATCAGTCACAAGCATTTTCTTTCACCCATGAAATAACACTTATCTGGAAAAAAATCAGTCAGCAATCAACAAATGCAAAATTCACAATGCAACTTTTGTTATAATAACAAGACTAGTTTAAAGAATTGCTTTCAAAATTCTTGCTGATTAGGTTTGGATGTAACTTGTTGTGAAGCTAAGAATTTTATTGACTTAATTCATCATAGTTTTTAGTTCAAATGACTATTAATGATCATGATTAGGTGAGCTGCTATTTTTTTCGATGGCAATGTGCCTGAAAATATTAACAGTGCAATGTCTGTTCTGAGGTTGATTTGTACCAACTGTTATTGTTTTTTCAGGGTATATGAATCCAAATTTATTTGTTATGGAAATAAGTTTAATTTTCATATTACATCATAACCTTTTTCATGTTTATCCTTTATTAATCTAATATTCAACATTTTTTATTTTCCATGTTATCCTGAAAACAGCCTGGATAATATAAACTGTAAAATGTCTAGCCCCAGTTGAAACATCATTACTTAGAGGCTTGACCCATTCTATAAATTCTAAATTGCAAGCTATGTCTTTTAAATTAATAGTCTTGTAGAACTTTTATTCTTTTAACTTTTTTAATTAGCATATAAATAATTTCTTTTATTAACAGTTCCCTGACAACGCGCCTGCTAGTCATAATCAGAACTGATTGTTAAGCAGTATAGATGCAGAATGTCTCAATCATAAATATAAAATGATGATAAAATATCTGGGGTCTATAGCATTTGAGATGGAAAAGAGTCAACTCGGCCCTATACCAACTCGGCACGGGTCAACTCGGCCCACTTTACAAAAATATATAGGCCTATAACGTATATAATTTACTTTGCTTTGTATGTTGTTAAGGTAAATGAATAATAAGAAATATCTTATTATTATTATATAATTATACATTGTACCTCTGCTGAAATAAAGTATACTTAGAAAAAAAAGTTATTTATTTGTCTTGCAGATTCGATAAAATTAATGCAGACACAGGCATGATTATCGAACCTGGGAAGAAAAATATGAAAAGATTGATAAAATAACTTCATATTTTTTCTTCCCAGGTCCTATACTTGTGCCTGTGAATATAGATATAATAAAAATGTGTTTCCTTAGATGCATTTTTTGTTTGTAAAGTAATTTTTTAAAAAATATGAAACAAAAACGTGTTAACTTAACAGCATAAGCTTCTAATTAATTGCAGGTGGTCACTAATCAAATTTGAATGAATGGGTCAATCATAATTATCACCTAATTAATCGGTATCTTTAGCATACACATTGATTGATAATAATAGCCCATGCCAATAGGAGCCCTTTGATGTCCTTTATCCATTTTTAAAAGTGGGCCGAGTTGACCCGTGCCGAGTTGGAATAGGGCCGAGCTGACTCGGGGGCCGAGTATGTTTTAGGGCCGAACTGACCCGGATTCTTTGAGATGATCTTGATAAACAGACTGAAGTGGAAATACTTGGAAATTGACTTTCCTACATGATTACATGAACTTAAATCTTGTAACTATGTTAAAACACTGCATAAAAAAGACAGAGTAAACTGAACTTTTATGTGTTTTACTGCCACAACATCCGAAAAATGCTAAATCCGACTTTAGTCACAGTAATATACAATATTTTTTTCTTGTGTTGAAGATGATAAAATGAATAATTACCTGGTCATAAGGATTCTTTTCCAATAATTGTGTGCAAATATCAACACTTTGTTGATATTTACGTCTTCTAAAGTAGCTGTATGCCAAAAATAATGGATCCATCTTCAACTTGTTTTCATTGGAAACTGGAATTCTCAATCTAACGTAAAACACCGACACCTTCCGAATTTTCTGTCAATTTTGAGATGACCCCCATTGAAACATTTCTCTTTTCGGACCTTACGGAAATTGACGAAACACACGTGAGATGTAACAAAAATATTGATTGGTCAGTCATTTCCGTTAATAATTAGTGATTTCCGTAGCCAACATGGGTGTCGACGCACCGCTCTTCATATTTTCATTAATTGATGAAGGATATCTTCTTTTCCTTATCGTGTACTTTGTATCCTTTCTAAATATGCCCCAAATTTTAAGTCTATAATTTTTGCTCTAAGAATGAAGTGTTATCGAGAGAAAATGCTTCCGATTTAGTTTTCGAAGTAGAATAGAAATCGGATAGAGTAGTGATGCCGGTTCCATGAACTTTCAAAATATTAACAGTGATTAATAATTTCCTTTTCAGCGATTTTGGTGATAGCGTCCAACTATATTAAAATACTTTATTTATGAATACATACGCTTAGTAAACAGGTGAAGGCTGTGTAATAGGAATAGAAGTAAATGAGGTTGATTTTTTTCTCTACAAGTACAATACAATTTACTAGCTTAAGATTGACAGATTGAATTCTGTGCTTAAAAAGGGTGTATCTGCCCGCAAAGGCACAAAGATCGGCTTTCACTGTAGAGTAAGTACCTCGGACATGTTACCAGTCATGCCCTTAAATGGTTAATTTTGAAGCACAAAGTGGTGATAAAAATTATTAATTTACAATATCATTATGAAAAGGAAGTAGCCCAGAAAAGGGCTGTTATGTCAACAAAGGGCCTTCTTTTCAAGCTGTCACTCTCTACGCCAGGGGCTTACACATACTTGCACACTTCCTAGTCATTCCTGCACTAGCACAATTCCTCATCATTCCTGCCTCCTTTTTTTTTTTTTTAGGGCCATTCCCCTTGGGTTTAGTCAGAACATCGACATCTGAGTCATAGGTTGCAGAGATCTGCCAAAAATTTGAAAGTACTGGGCCCTGGGCCCACTTGGTCTGAAAATGATGGGCCATTTTTACCAAAGTATGGGCCTTGAGAAAATAAGTAAACATTGACTTAAATAACTGTTAAAAAGTTCTAGATAATTGAATTTCCCTGGTAGTAAAACTTAAATCATATTTTATGACAAGTGGTTTATTTGAAACTTATGCTTGCAAGCGCAACATATATATTAAACATATTTTATATATTGAACATAATTTATTCAATGAATCATCCTATGTTTGCTGGAAAAATCCATGTTTTGATCTCCAAACATTGTATATATTACAATTTTATACTTGTTATAAGCATTGTACTATGCTTTATACAAATAAACTTTTCATATCCGTATATTCGTTTTGTTTTATAAATTATGGATTAACCTGTCTTTGTTTTATAAATTATGGATTAACCTGTCTTTATTGTTTGTTACACCTTTAAAACATATATATATCTAAATGGTTCAAGAGATCAAAAGATACTAAATAATTATTTAAAGAATTAAAGTGTCATAATTGTTTAATTTTAATTAAATTAATTGTTGTTAATCAATCAAGCAATAATCTATAGTAGGGCCGAAACGTCCAGGGGCCGATTTTTCCACTGGGGCCGATTTGGTTTGGGGCTGAAATGTCCTGTTTGCAGGGGTACATGTACCCCCTGTCATTGAAAATTGGCGGTACATTTTAAAATCTGGGGGTACACATAGTCAGAGATCTGCCAAGAATTTGAAAGTACTGGGCCCTGGGCCCACTTGGTCTGAAAATGATGGGCCATTTTTACCAAAGTATGGGCCTTGAGAAAATAAGTAAACATTGACTTAAATAACTGTTAAAAAGTTTGTAGATAATTGAATTTCCCTGGTAGTAAAACTTAAATCATATTTTATGACAAGTGGTTCACTTATGATTCAGTACTAAACCAATAATTAAAAACTATGCCTACATGGTAACTTTCTAACTAATATTAATTGCAGACAAAATATTTTTCAAATGGCTGCTCAAAAATTTGATGTGAAAATTTATTCACATAATTGCTGGTTCTTACTTCTAATGTCTAATACTGTGCATTATCCATTTAATTGTTCCTACTTTGCACCAAATGTCCCTTACCACTGTATATTGACAAATTTTATTGCCCCTTGTATGCCTCTGTGTAGACAGCATACATCAAAGACACTTGCCGACAGACCTTTTGATCATGAAAAAAAGTCATGCACAATGTTTCCCTGATTGGTTAATCACCCTGTCAAATATTCTGATGACGAAATAGACATCTTTTTTTTTTTCACTTCATCAGTGAACTTGAGTGACCTTAGGTACACCTGTCAGATTATACTGTAACTTACAGCATTTCTTAAAATATCAACACTTTTTTTTCAGTTACCGATAATCATATTAAGTATTAAGTAGTTGTATAATTTGTTTGTTTGTTTGTTTTATTGGATTAAATTTACGTAGTAGAAATGAGTATTTGTGTGGGAAAGGGATTATGAGAAGAAATGCGATAAGTAGATAACATGGACAAAAGCTATAGGGGAATGGATAACCTCAAGAATATGCATAATTACAGGGGAATGGGTAACATGTTGCTGTTGGTACCAGTTTTGACTGGATGACTAAATAACCCAGCGAACAGTTTTGTTTTCTTATAAGTCTGGCACAGATTTTATATGCGCCCATGGCCCTTTGCTGCCGATTTTTCTGCGCCATTCTCATTTTTTAGCGCCAATGGCGCAAAATCGCGTCCTCGGCAGATCTCTGGGTTGCGATCATGGAAACTTTACTCCCCAGCTACAAAGGGGTAGTTTGGTGTCCAGGACCTACTTGTATTCTACATGTAAAACAACAGCGCTTGCATCTTAACCAGCTAACTTACATGTAAGCATCTAACATAGGCTTAAATCATTACTTAAATGTTATCAAACTCTCATATTTGCCTTTTCTTATGAAAGAAAAAATAATTTGTTTCTGAGGCCTAATCACTGCTTTAATTACATTAAAGCCGTGTCTTAATGTGCCTTTTTAGCTCACCTGTCACAAAGTGACAGGGTGAGCTTTTGTGATCGCTTTTTGTCCGGCGTCCGTCGTCCGTCCGTCGTCCGTAAACTTTTACTTTAAATGACATCTCCTCATAAACCACAAGGCCAATTTCATCCAAACTTCACAGGAATGTTCCTTTGGTGGTCACCTTTAAAAATTGTTCAAAGAATTTAATTCCATGCAGAACTCTGGTTGCCATGGCAACCGAAAGAAAAAACTTTAAATATCTTCTTTTAAAAAACCATAAGAGCTAGAGATTAGATATTAGGCATGAAACATTTTCTAGTGAGTGTCTACCAAGTTTGTTCAAATAAAAGCCCTGGGGTCAAAATTGGCCCCGCCCCGGGGGGTCATTGATTTTCCCTATATGCATATAGTAAAAACTTAAAAAATCTTCTTTTAAAGAACTCAAAGAGCTATGGCTAAGATGTTGAGCATCAAACATGTTCTAATAGGTGTCTACCAAGTTTGTTCAAAGAAAAGCCCTGGGGTCAAAATTGGCCCCGCCCCAGGGGGTCATTGATTTTCCCTATATGCATATAGTAAAAACTTAAAAAATCTTCTTTTAAAGAACAAAAAGAGTTAGAGCTAAGATATTTAGCATGAAACATGTTCTAATAAGTGTCTACCAAGTTTGTTCAAATAAAAGCCCTGGGGTCAAAATTGACCCCGCCCCGGGGGGTCATTGATTTTTCCTATATATGCATATAGTAATGCATATAGTAAAAACTAAAAAAATCTTCTTTTAAAGAACTCAAAGAGCTATGGTTAAGATATTTAGCTTATATGTGTATAGCAAAAACTTAAAATCTTCTTTGAAAAAACCCAAATAGCTAGAGTTTAGATATTAAGCATGAAACATATTCTAGTAAGTGTCTACAAAGTTTGTTCAAATAAAAACCCTGGGGTCATAACTGGCCCGGCCCCAGGGGTGTCATTGTTTTTAACTTTATGTGTATAGTAAAAATCTTCTTTTAAATAGCCCAATGAGCTAGAGCTTAGATGTTTAGCATGAAACATCTTTTTATGGGTGTCTACCAAGTTTGTGCAAATAAAAGCCCTTTGGTTAAATTGGCCCTGCAACGTTTGGGGGTTGGGGGGGCCTATATACAGGTGAGCGACCTCAGGGCCATCATGGCCCTCTTGTTTAAGTTTTTAAGGACATTTTAAACTAAATTATTTCTTACTCTTGGTGCAAAAATTATTGTTAGTTTACAAAAACATTTTTTTTTTTAAATTTTGGGGGCCCATCTAACTTTTGGATCTAGTATAATGGTTATAATAGTGTGTTGATCTGTCACATGTTATATGGACAGTCACTTAAAAGTTATCATGTCCTTTTGGGTTAAATATTAGTGTTCATGACTCCTTAACTGAACTCAGGTTATCACATTATCAGATTTAGAATGTGATTACCTAAATGCCAGAACTTGCTGTGAAAAACTTAATTTTGTAAGTATACTGTACTACATTAATTTTGTTCACTTTGCTATAAATGAACATATTTTTCTACTTGGCATTGCAGTTGAAACTATTTGAAATACACAGTTGTCAGTATTAAACTTTGTTCTATTTCTGCCGTGTTGGTGACTGATAAAATGAATGTAAATTTTGAAACATGAAATAGAATGAAAATGTACAGGTCATGTGAAATTAAAGTATATAATACAAGTCTAAAAAACAAATGAATTTTGTTTCAGAGTTAAAACCACCAGATGGGATTTGATGTAAATTTACTGAACATCTAGAATTCAGATGTAAACTTTTGCAGATACTTACGAAATGTGTATTTTTAATTGCAGTGGGTTTTACCAGAAATCATTCCACAGGCAATATTAACAGTTTTGCTGTTGTTCACTGGTCACTGGCTGTTATTTCTTGTCTATGGAACATGCACAGCGTGGATCATTTATAGGTAAGTATGAGTGAGGGAAAAAAAGATTTTCAAATTTCATTTTAGAGGCTTATAAAATCAATAAACAGATGATCGCTATAATTCTTGATATTTAACTCTAATAAGGTGAAAATCTCAAAGTGGCCAGTTTTTCTCACTTTTAGGTGAATGGTGGCAGGGCCCATGCAGAGAGGGAAGTTGTGTTAAATGCATTCATACCAGTAAATGTTAACTGTATAATACCTGTAAAATTGTTAATGTTAAATGCATGTACACATATCTTTAAATGTTTGTAAATATTATGAGAAAAATCAAGTAAAAAAAAAACAAGTTTCAACTTTATGATTTATTATGCATATTAACTGTAATGAAATAAGATGTCATTGAATTGTAAGCAAGTTTTCTCTCTCATTTTATTTCAGATATGTTACTAAGCCATCAGGAAATATAGGAATATATGATCCTACAGAAATCCATAATAGACAACAACTTAAATACCATATGAAAGAAAATCTTTGTAAAATGGGATTCCATCTTGTTTTCTTTTTTGTGTACCTGTATTTGTAAGTATACTAGTAAATTACAAGTTTGTGGGGGGGGGGGTATTGCACCAGTATTTATATGTGATATGTTCAAATTTACTAAAACTAAGCATATAACCAAAGCTGAATTTGTTAAAAGTTTTTGTTGAGTTGTTTTCTATTTAAGAACTGTCCATTAACAATTTTCTTTTGGGGAAATCAAAATGAAACAGAAAGTTAATCAGCCAATAATATAAAGCCTGATCAGACTGCCCGAATGTGCAAGCGCTCTGTATTGTTGGTAAAGATAATTTCTTTGGTTCCAGCAGGTTAAGGTTAAAGCTATTGCTTGCCATGTTTGTGTTTGTTTTGTTTTCTAAAAATAGAAAGAAATATTTTTATTATGGATGTTTTTTTTTATTCGTTACAGGATGATATACTCACTGATAAAGGGTGATGATCTCTAACTGCCTCAAGAATCCCTGCAGATCTACTCATACCAGAAACATTATGTACATATCATATATATCCATGCCTTAAATGTGTTACGATTTTGCTAGATATATAAAGTGTCCAGATTTTTTTATTTTATATTTTTGTTTTTGTTCTTTGAAAATATTATAGATCAAGAATCATGTTTATTCAAACTTTGTATTGCAATATTGGCTCACCTTTTATCACCTGTATTAAGACAAGCCATCCTTAACTTACATTACATGCAGTCTGAAGATTAATATGTCACTATAATGTTGTCTGCTAAATTTCATCATTTTGATATTGATAGTCTGATTAAATAAGAATATACAGGTCTGTGTTTAAAACAGGACTGCCAGTAATCGATTTCACAAATGCACAAGAAGGGTATGTATATATTATAAGTGAGATCTACTGGGGATGTGGGCACTGAATTATGGTAACTAAAGTTAACACAGGAGATGAAATAGTTATGCATTCACTCCTTACAATACTAAATATAAACAGTCCACTCTAAATATATGGGATTTTGATCTCAAAATGCTAAAATTAATCCACAAAGAGGCAACACAAAATGTAGGTTGGTCTTGCACTATAAAGTCATTATCACCACAAGCTTTTAATGACTTAAAGGCCCATTAAGTCTGAAAATGCCATTATTTTCTCTTCCTTTTTTTAACTTTAATTTTTTTATTTATTTATTTTTTGTGTCCCAAAAAAAAGATACATATATGCAGTATAGCTGAGCCATATTTTACTTTTGCATTTTTGATTTGTACTGTTATAGTGATTTATTATTTTGTATGAGTGTCAAATTACCATTTTGTTTACATTTTGCTATCTTTAGCACACTTTATAAGTTTATTTTAGTTTATTTCACATTCAGCACTAAGCATCATATATGTTCTAAATCCATTATTACAAGGGTGTTGAAACATGTTTGTCCTTCCTACTTAAAAAAATAAGAATTTGAGGCTCTATGTACCTTTAAAGGAATAGAAACTAATCTGACTTAATGTTTATACCTCATATTTTGCTAGCAAGTCAACTTTCCATTTCTCATGTTGCAATCCGGTAGGGTAACATATATTTTATTTTCTGTATTGAAATAGCTGATGCATGCTAAGTGAATTGCAAAAGAAACAACAGATGTTATGTTAGATTATATAAACATTTACATTATGATAAGCTTGAACATTATTCTCAGTTTAGCATTTTATTAATACTTTTTGTTCATTCATGTATGAATAGTCCTTTTAAAGACTTTAAATGTCAGAATTTATCTCTTGTCACCAAAGCTAGGTCACATATTTATATATGTGTGTGTGTTTTGATCTGTCCCTATGTATTTGCTTATATCATGTCCTATATATTTATGCTTATATAACTATCATATAGGTTGTGCACTTGAACAAATGGTACTTAAACAAACATTTTTGTTGTAGACTCAGAATTTTGTTACTTTTTTACACCATAGATTTATTAGATTCATTCAATTGCTTTCAAACATTGGTTTTAAACCATTTACAGTTTATGGCACAATGTACACCAGGATACCTGTGGTTTCCTCAACTCTGTATTATTATATGATGTGGCTTAGAAAACACATATTCACGAAGGATATGCGAATACATGTCATTCATTGTTTATGGATATTTTTGCTTGTTTAAGACGTGTTAATCGGATATTTGGGCTTTTTTTAAAATTTGAATCTGTATACATTCTTTTTTGAATATGATTTACTTCTATACAGGGTTTATTATTTAACTTTTTACACAACATAAACTTTGTTTGTAATTAATTGCCAAAAAAAATCAGTCATTGTATGGAACAGAGGGATTTTTTAATACAAGGTTGAATCATTTGATGTTTAGGTTTTCTTATTTTTGGGTAAAGTATCTCACAGGACTTATGTATAGACCTGTTTTAAATCAATATACAATTATCAATTATATGACTGTTTAATAAGTTTATTATTTAAACAGTCAGATATATAAATATTCTAAGATATCTAATATCAGAAAGTTAAAATATATGTGTATTCAGTATAATTATATATATTGTACTAGTATAATGATAAACGATATTTCAAAACCCAAGTTTTTGCTCAATTATGTATCACATTTACATACATGTATCTACAAAACAGCTGTACATTTTATTATCTTTATCCTATTATCTGAAAGTGGCCAGGAACATAATCATTTGAAGTAGTATTGATTTTCTTTTTTTCGCATTAGTGTAAATGATTAAGATATTCTGATATTTTATAATGCACCCACCAACTCATTTTAAGTATTATAGTACAATAGCCTGTACATATGATTATATTTTTTCCCCAAAGTCAAGCCAGCTTGACCTAATTTAAATTATGAATAAAGGCTCATTTTACTACAATTTGAACAAAATAAGTCAACAAATAATACTCTTGTTTAATATGTAATTTATAATTGCAATTTGAAATGGATTTCTTACTTTTTAATTTAGAATTATGAAAGTTTATCCCCTCTGGTACATGTATGTTTTTTGGTTCGTTTTATACATCATCAAAATGTTGAATTGTATTTTAAAAGGTGATATGCCGTTCTTGAGTTTTTCAGTCAACTTGTGTCATAGCATAATCAACAAAGTTATTTTTATCTGTGAGAAATTTAATTTCTGAAATAAAATTTATGAAGTAAGTAAAAGTATATATTTAAGTGAATCATCACATTATTTAGTAAAGTGATTCATCTTATTGTTATATCTCAAAATGCTGACAATTTATTAGTAATTTTAATTTGTTAGACTGATTTACAAAAAATGTAATGCACAAGTCAATTGTAAGCACGGCCCCTCCACCCCTTGGTACTTGTGGGGACTTTGGCTTTGCAATTTTTAAACCCTTGGTGAAGAGCCTCCCTTTGCCTAGACTGTCCGATAAAATACCAGCTATAAACCAGGCACTGCCATTTATTTTATATCCTTGGCCATTTTGGTACCAAAACAAAACCACAATATTGACCAGGCAGTGCGGAGACAGATTAAAGATAAAGACTTGGCTCATTACCCATGCTATCCAGCAGATGCAGTAAGGCTATGTTTTCAATTGACTGGTGTATATCATAACCACTGTTTTTAGTTGAAAATTGTGTGAGACAGTCTATATTTACTTGTGTGTATGTAGACAAGCCTGGTGCATGAACAATGTGGCAATAAGTTATACTCTCTACTTACAGAATATCTTGGTGCATATTTGCATTATGTATTTTACAGTTAATAAATATTGTTTTAGATAACCTGTATATAGTTGTCATTATTAAGTCCTTGAACTTTGTATTTTCATTTAATGTGACATCCAGATGAGTAAAATAAATGTCCCCCCCCCCCCAAAAAAAAAAAAAAAATTTTTTTTAGGACACAGATGTCAATTTTAAGTTCATTGTTGTAGAATAATGTACGGGTAAGAGTTCAAATGCACCAGAATAAAATCATAAAGGCCAATAGGCACACAAAACATTTGAGGAAAATTTCCATTCTTACATGCTATTAAAAAGAACGTTGAACTGCATTGAGCCCAAGAAGAAATTTTCCTATCATCATTTGGTTTATTGATGTCCTAGGATGTGTAAGCATTTGCTTATGTCATGCATATAATTTGTAATAACGCACTGGACTGCCCTATGTATTTGATAGTGATTTGTGTGAATCATGTTAGAATTATACATGTACATGTAGTTTAAAACATGTATTCTTGGTCTTGATAAGAATTTTGAATGTTCAATGTAAAATATGACAGAATTAGTTACTATTTTTGTCACCAAAATGCTACCCAGTTACTAACGTACATTTGTACCTTTCTTTCCTTAAATTTTTTTGCTGGTTCGGATTAGACAGGTTCCACTGTAGAAGAATATTCTGCATAATTACAAAGAGTAATTTGTTTGGATCGTAATAGTCATAAGTAAGACATTAATTTTGTACACTTGAACATATTTTTACTCATTAGAATTTTTTTTTTTTAATTTTCTTTTAAAATTTACATACATCTAGAGGTGTGCTGCTTTAAATATAAGTGTGACTGACAACCTAACCACTAAGCAAATTCTTGGCAGCAGCTGGCATGAATTTCTTGAATATTCTGAGCATGCATCACTACACTGCCTGACAGTGCAATTCTCACACATGCAAAGCACCGGTTTAATCTGGAAACTGCTCCAGGAATGTGACGCAGAATTCCCTGAAACTAATCTGAACAAAACAAAGACAATGGAATTTATTTCTATTCATTTATTATTATTACTATAAAATATTGTTACACAATCATAGTATTTGAAACCAGAAGAAAAGAAAAACACTGTATGGGAATATAAAATCATTCAACTAAAACATTTACCATTTAGAACAAAACCTATGCATTCTACTCCATAATTTTTCATCATGCATTCGAATATCTGATCTTTTATTCTGTAACGAAAAATATGAAACAAAGATAACTTCATACAATGTAATAATAGCCAATAATGAATTTAATGCTAGACTGACACTTGCGGCAATTTTATAATATTGAACATTATAATTGTTTTTAAAGCCAAAGAGTACATCCTATATTGTAGTAGAAGTGTACATCAATTTATTACAGCTGTAAATTTCTAAAAAACTGTCTGGCTTAATAAAACTTTCATTTCTGCCGCAGCAATTTCTCGATCAGGTTGCAATCTTTTGTTTTGTTATCTATGAATGATTATAGCCAAGTGTCAGCCAAAATTTCTTCAGAGCTCTCAACAATAACAAACAAAATCCTGTGAACTTATATTTCAAAACTGTTTAAAGAAAAAAATTATGACTAATCAACAAATGAAAATCATATATTAAATGAGGGAATGTCCAAAAAAAGAACGCAAATGGAGGATCACGCAAACAAAATGTTCAAATTTTTGTAAACAACACGTAATGAAGGAAATTTTGAAAGCACTATTATATACTGTGACCTAATTTCTACATGGCTTTATGGGTAACTACCTTGACATCAATACACTAACAGAATCACAGAGTCAAATACATAGACATTTATAAATAAAAAAAAATATTTTTTTTCACTCCATTGCTATTTACAATAAAATTTGCCAGTGTACAAACAACAAGACATGACCTGTTTTCAAAATGGTGTAATTTTCTCCTCTGGACGTCCCCAAAATTTATAATGGACAGTTCCAAATAATGGAAGTTGGACAAGTCCATTTATAAAAAAAAAACCAGCAGGTCAAGTGCTAACAAAGGGCAATTCCAAAATCAGCACAGGTAAACTATGACACAAAATTTCATTTAATGTATTTTATTTCATGCCAGACTGTGAAATAAATTCCTGCCTCATAAAAATATATGATGCCTGGGACTAACCTGTGCAGGTGTGATTTGAGGAAGCAAGGATGTGAATCAAGAAGGGCTCGAACCAATAAACACTGGGTATCACAGGCAACACCTTAAAAATTTGACAATTGCTTCCCTTCAATGTGTGTTACAAGATACGCTCAATTTTTCTATCTAAGATTTCTATTTTGTTTTGCATATTTCCTTTTTTACCGTATTACATTTTCATACTTTTGTATTGAATAAATATTAAGATATAGCCCAGCCTTTTTCTACATCACCTTGATCATTTTCACACATTGACATATCACTATTACAGTACTAAGATGTCTCACAATAAAGCTACTTTTTCCCCACTTGATTAAACATTGGCCTCTTTATTATCGTCTTCCGTCAAACCATGTCTGGAACATTTCTTATAAGGAATGTGTTCCTTCAGAATTGTATCAATATCTGTTTTACATGTAAAATGTAAACATTTATCAGAATGGATGTCCTAAAGAACCTTGTATCATGTGGGGACATGTTTACCTTAAATTTAAAGGTTCTAAATCATTTATAGATAGCACACTTAGTGTTTCATAAAATAACAGATCATGATAACAAAAGGCATACAAAATAAAGAAAATTCTTCCCAAATTTGGACAAAAAATGGAAGGACAGAAAAATGAAACCACTAAGTAGGAAATAAAAAACTGAAACTGGAAATTAGGATGTACGTTTAGAAATCTTAATAAAAATAATAATAGTTCCAAAAGAAGAAACAAAACGTTAAGAAAAGGAATGCTTGTTTTCAAGAACTTTTTTCTTTAATTTCCACAGATGTAACAGATTCAAACCAAAATGAATCAGATCTAATTTATAATCGACACCACTGTGTTCAAAACAATCATATCTTATAGGCAAAATAGATAAATAGATTATCTTGTATACATATGTTCATTTAACAAGTTGGAAATTATTTTTCATAATCATAAACTATTTAATACATTCATATAAAACACAAAATACAAACTGGGAATACTCTCTAACAAGGGGGTGACATGATTCAGTTATCATAAAACAAACCCATTCCACAACAATTTACAAACAATGTTTGGAAATAAAAAGAAACAAAAAATATAATACCCATATTAAAATCTGCATTTAGCATATATACAAACATAAAATAACACAAACATATAATTGAGCCGCACCATGACAAAACCAACATATGGGTTTGCGACCAGCATGGATCCAGACCAGCCTGCGCATCCGTGCAGTCTGATCAGGATCCATGCTGTTCGCTTACAAACCCTATAATAAGTACAGAAACTGATAGAAAACAGCATGGATCCTGAACAGACTGTATGCCCAGGCTGGTCTGGATCCATGCTGGTAGCAAACCCATTATGTTGGTTTCGTCATGGCGCGTTCAATTATGTCTACGGTCACACATTTCAACATAGACGACTGTTTTACACAATTATATTTAGACGACCAAATTTATCACTTAAATAACACAGCATAATTTCTAGCACAAAACAAGACAATAGAAAAACATGGTTACTGATAACTGGTTTCTATAAAAGTAAATAGCATACTAATAGCTCTTTAGCTTTGAACATATGTCCATATTTAGTATATTCTCATAATTTGCAATAATAGATAAAATACAGAAACAAGTCTGTGTTCGTTTTAGAGACAACATCACTGAATTGCATTCAGAAAATAAATTTCTAATTTTTATTAGAAGTCATTAACCATTTATAAAATGCCGAATTTCTAACACATTTTTCTTTAAGAGCAAAAATAGACTGATTTAATGCATTTTAAAAAAAACTTCAGAAGAAATAGAAATAAATTTTAGGCACCAAAAACAAATGGTAAAGGAAGAAATTTAGTGCATTAACAGCAACTCAAGTTACACTGACTTGCCTATACTACTAGCATAAAAATCTGGCCAGCCTGCATGCCTGTGTAGTCAGACTAAATTTATACTGTTCCCTGATCAAATTTTGAATTTGAAATTGAAACCCCTTGAAATAACAATGTATAGTTCCAAATACCTAGACAGGGCAAGTCCATTACATAAATTCAGTGTTTTATTGATTGTATTAAATTCTTCCATCTTATTTGTTGTATACACCCTTAACCTTCAGCCTGCTGGCAGTGAATGAGTCTGCCCATACAACCAGTGCAGACCCAACATCTGCCTGCAAATCCATGCCGTCTGATCTTGATCTGACGTTTGCTCTGCCGTTTGATCTGCCGTTTGCTCTTCAGTAAGTATATATTTTAACATTTTCCCTAAAAATGATGAATGGTTTTGTCTAAATTAAAAGACTGACAATTCCATTTACAGTATCTAGAGTGGTAAAGATAAAAAAATAGTCACTCACTACTTGTCCTACAATTATAACATGTTCAATTTAATACATGCATGATTATTTGACCTATGACATCAGCTAAATATAATTTATCATACATAATCATAAATGTAATGAAAATTGACAATGTCATCAATAAAAAGTCTTGTGATAAAAATTGTTCTATGTAAAAAAAAAGATGCGTAACATTACACAAACTTTTATCAAAAATGGTAATGATTTCATTCATGCAACGTAAACCCTAATAAATAAATGATGTATGGACGTTATAAGTGTTTGAACTTTCTTCCTCGTAAGACACATTTTTAGTATGTAACTATCCTTAGAATTTTGGGTCCTCCAATCCATCATATTGTACTTCGAAACATACAGTCGAACTCCACTAATGAGAATGCATGTTTTAGATTTTTTTCATCTTCAAAAGAGGATTTTCAACACTTGATAATGAAATGATGTAAAATTTTGAAACAATTTGCAGCAGGCGATTTCTTCATGCATTTGAACGATGTTGATGAAAATTTTGGAAGCCTAATTTTGAGTCTGTGTTATACAGGAGTACTTCGACCAGATTCTATACAACTTGAGTTTGATCCTGAAAAAAAGGATACAAAAATTTACAAACCAAAGAAATTCCAAGGTGAATCATTTAGTATCCTGGAAAAAAGCAAATATTTCAGTAAATTGTACTATATAAAACTTCTGAATTATGATAACGAGTGTGACACATTCTTAGATGACTGGTAACACAACACAATAGAAATGTAGAAACAGATTGATTTTAAAAGCAAACCTACAAGTTTTTAAAAATTTATTTCAACCAGTTACCATAAAAAGAAAGTACAGTTACAATATTACCTTAAAATTAAAGTGAATTTTGAATGATACCTGTTTTTGAATTGGTAGGTAACCTTGGACCCCATACCCGTACTGTGCCATCATCTGACGCACTTGCCAGCATGCTAGGCACTTTGGGATTCCAATGAACACAGTTGACAGTGCGTGAGTGACCTTCTAATACAGTGATGGGCATTTCTCGCCGTGCATGCCAAATATATACTTTATTATCTGAAATAAGAATATAATGAATTCTGATAAAATTTTTAAAATTTACACTTTTTTCAAAGGCAGATTGATGGAATATGTAACAAGAGTACTGCATGCAGTGTTAAGGTTCATCCATTAAAGGCAGTGACAATTGATAATCTATTTTGACAAAAAATCTAACAATTAAAAAAAATTTAACCTTCTATGATTAGAAACTTATTATCAAGCCTAGGTTATGCACCTTTCAATATAAACTTTAGTTAGTTAATATAAAATATGGACAACATACCTTCACTTCCACTGGCAACAAAATCCTGATTGAGACCACCGAAACATGAATGTATTGCATATGTTCCTTGTGACACACCTTGAAATTTACGTACTAAAACACGGTCTTTTAGGTCCCATAAATGGACTCCCTGAAAAAAATGTTACAAACATTCTGTCTTTACTTATGTTTGAAACTTATATCTAGTGCCTATCCATGTCATCAATTTATGAAGATTATTTCATGACCTATTAAATCTTAACCCAAGATCTGAATTGTTTTGGGTTTTTTCTCAATGTTTTCAAGAAGCTGAATTAAGTTTCTAGTCAAAAGATCAATTTTATATATTCCCCTTAAAACATTCATATTAGAAGCCCTTTTCTCTATTAAGTAGGGCATGAGTGAAACCTTGCATAGCTAGAACCAATGACCTGTAACCTTAAAGGCACATTACAAAATACTAATTCACTATAACTGCACTTATTGCCAAAAGCAACAGTCATAAAAGATGATTTAGATAATTGGCCAATAAGTAATTTTTTGGACGCTATAAAAGTACACCAAAATTAAAATGCTTTTGAGAAATAAAAGCATTTCTGAGGCATAATGTGCCTTTAAGGAATGTCTGCTTCTTACTAAGGAACAAATGATGAAAACCAAGCATTATTTAAAATGTCCTATAACACCAACTTGATTTACAACAGTATATTGGTATTTAAAATGATTCAGTTTTGAAATGATGACATTTGTTTATCTACATTGTCAAAACATTAAAAACGTGTACCAGTGATATCCCATGTAGCCATCTATGGCAAATAGCCAATACATCACTAACATTAAACATGTCAACCTCAAAGTATGTGTTTTGAGGAAACATTAATTTGTTATCATAAAACTGATAATATAATTGGTTTTAAAGATTTTTTGACAGGTTATATGGCCTTATATAAATGACTGTTTGTATATATTGCAAACAACCATTTATAGACGGCCATATAACCAGTCAGGAATATTTGTAACAAATTAATAATACTGCAAACTTCCTTTTTTAAAGAAAAAAGTGATATTTAATCATGAATTGACAGCAGCTGTGTATATAAAACAATATAAACGTCACGATTATCCAATGAAAAGCGACATTACAAACATGCAGTATTATAAGATATATTGATATAATATGATAAAAAATACTGATACAAACAAGAGCAGTTATCTTACCTGACTTGCTATATTCAGCAGGCATAGCCGTCCTGTTTCATTTAATGTGAAAGACATGATAGGGTGTGACTCCTGAATTCTGTGTGAGAGAATAAAATTCATAAAACTTTCAAACCAAATCATTCGAAACAAGAAGTGATTAAAAAAAGAAAATACATGTACAGTAGAACGTTACAGTAGAAAAGATAAACAAATACAAATGTTCAATTCAAACTTAATATCTTTAATTAAATTTACAGCTTTATTATACCATGAAACAATGAAATAAGCAACAGACAGTACCATCAAATCTAAGCCACTGTATAGAAGAATATTAGAAATCAGTACTTACAACTAATACAAGTGAGGACACTTCATGAAAATATCAAAAGGAAAATATACAAAGAAATTTCAAAAGAAAAGTGTATTATGTGTTACTTAACACATGTTAAACATACACATTTTGATTACAAAGTCAAATATCTTGATATAAAATAACAAAGTTATGGCAAATTTTCTTAAGATTTGACCTTGAAGGTCAATGTCATTTAGGAGTCAATGTCAAGTTCCAGTAAATCCAAAATAAGTTATTGTCCAGAATCTGATTAAAGAACAGAAAAGCAAGACTAAAACTAGAACTGTGTCCAAAGGACACGGATGCCCCCACTGACAACTTATATATGGTATATAGTGAAAAAATCAACAAAGGGCCATAATTCTGTTAAATTTGGTCGCAGCAAAAATTCCTTCCTTTACTACCATCTACACATTAAGGTTGTTCATCCCTGGAAGTTTAAGCAAAATCTGCCATCCAGTTTAAGAGGAGTTGCGTTCACAAAATTACTATATGGTATATAGTGAAAAAATCAACAAAGGGCCATAATTCTGTTAAATTTGGACGCAGCAAAAATTCCTTCCTTTACTCCCATCTACACATTAAGGTTGATCATCCCTGAAAGTCTAAGCAAAATCTGCCATCCGGTTTAAGAGGAGTTGCGTTCACAAAATTTCTATGTGGTATATAGTAAAAAAATCAACAAAGGGCCATAATTCTGTTAAATTTGGTTGCAGCAAAATTTCCTTCCTTTACCCCCATCTACACATTAAGGTTGATCATCCCTGGAAGTTTAAGCAAAATCTGCCATCCGGTTTAAGAGGAGTTGCGTTCACAAAATTCCTATATGGTATATGGTGAAAAAAATCAACAAAGGGCCATAATTCTGTTAAATTTGGTCGCAGCAAAAATTCCTTCCTTTACTACCATCTACACATTAAGGTTGATCATCCCTGTAAGTTTAAGCAAAATCTGCCATCCGGTTTAAGAGGAGTTGCGTTCACAAGATTTTGGGACGGACGGACAGACGTACGGACGGACGGACAAGTGCAACGCTATATGCTCCCACATTGTGGGGGCATAACAATATACCTGTCAATCTACTGATGCCAAGGGAAAGGAAATGAGCATAAAACAAAATGAAATCATATCACTTACAAATGGCAGTCTGTAAGTTCATCGAAGTTGTAACCTCTAATGCGGAAGTGTGTGTCGGCAGCATACACAAGTTTACCATCTACCTGGCAGGCAAGACATTGAACCCGGACTCCTTCCCAGGAATCTAACACATTACCATCTAAATCCTGGAATATATAAAACAAACATTATAAATATACCGTATTGTCAAGTGATATTTTATCTAGTGACACTGCAAAATAATGCAGTAAATACAGTAATACAGTAAATGATACAGAAATGAAATTTTACTATTCTTTCATATGGAAAATGCATTAAAATATCTCTTCAAGTGTGTATATCACTTAAGCCGATAAAGGTTACATTATACAAAAATATTTCCCAAGAAAAGGAACTTTTGCATTCAAAAACAGAGGTTTCCGTTTCTCACTGGCATTATTCACAGGGATAAAAGTAGTATACCAAATACAACATTGCCATCTGATAATGTTTCCATCAATGCAACACAGTTATAGGGATATGAACAATAATATTAATGTTTGTTCCACTGTTAACACCTTTCTTGGCAATTTACCCGATATATATATATCAACATACTTAAAGCTTAACCCTTAGGCTCTGATGAATTGTCTATGCTGTCAGGTTAGGGCTAGGCCAGTCTGCACACCCATGTTTATATGTTTATGTTGTCTTGACCATATTCTTCACTTTTTTATCATATTTGTTAAATTAGCCAAAGGCATATGCCAATCTGCTAAATAAAACTGGACTGAACTGCTGACTATATGCTGGTTGTTAAATTTCAATATTCCATAGGCTAAAATCCCTCAGACTCACACTAGTCAGCTGAACATTGAAAAGCAGCACAAGCTCATTTTACAGATACAGAGGGGAAAGAGTTTAACTTGGACATGAAATTTACCAATATAAGCAAATATACTTGTATCTATATTTTACACACTTTTATTTCTGACACAAGGGTTGGTAACAATTTACTTACACACTGGTAGAACTGTCCCCGGACACCACCTGTAACAAACTTCCTGCCATCACAATGCCAGGATGCACTTGTTAAACTATCTTCAGGTGATTGGCTCATCTTCACCTTTAACTCTCCAGTCTATAAATAGTAGACAATGATTCAATACAGAAAACAGGCTATGACACATAGAAGTAAGAACGTTTTCTTAAATCTGTGCTATTTAAAATGGAAATTTTCATAATGAAAAAATTCTCTGAAGATTATGAAAACAACATTCGCATAGCAGTTCACTTTAGAGGAAAATCATGAAAGAAAAAAACAAATGATTATTATCATTAACAATTTACAAACAAGATGTAAAATGAATAAAATCATTTGAATCATCATAGAGATAACAAAATTTATTAAACTCTTAATATCACAAATAACATTTGGCCCGCTTTCATGTTACAAAGACACTATTATATCAATCTTCAAACTTCATTACCAAAACATTCCATAGCCAGAGTTCAGAGCAATCGTCTGGTCCACAGGCTATGATGTATGTACAATCAGGGCTCCATGCAATGTATGATACCCCATATGAATGGTTTTCAAATGTTCTTTTATGTTTTACTGTTCCAGTTTCCTGAAATGAACAAAGAAAACAAGCATTTTCAATTTTTTCTCATGCACACAAATTTTAAAGTAGAGATACTACTAGTTGTGAAATCAGACTAAACTAATATGCAGATTTGATTGTGATAAAAACAGCCAATATATTTGTTTTTAGATAAAATCTGGTATGTATAAGTGTTCTAGTAATATGTTTATGTTAAGTAATCCCACTAGTGTTCCTGGATTCAGGCTGTTTTCGTAGAAGTAACAGCCAACTGCTCTACAAAAATCACAAACTAGACCAGTAGAAGAAATCGAATGGCTTTAGACATGTTGTCATAAACCAAATCATTGTGGGAAACATGTGCAACATTCAATTTCAGGCCAAAACCACACTTAGGTCTAAATTCCACAGGCATAGTGATATCTTTACCAAGATATCTGCTTACTTTCACAGAAATTCTCTACTAAAATACAAGTACAATGAATTTCAGACAAACCTTTAATACATTAAATCTTGGGATAATAACATTAAATCTTGGGATAATAACATTAAATCAGCAAGATACTAGTAGCATAACAAATTAGCAAACTATTACAGTCCTGCAGTCTGAGTGTTGGAAGACTGACATGTAAGATTTTATCCAAACATCTAGCTAATAAAGTAAACCCAATAAAATTGTCTTCAAAATGACCTTTTCTACATCCCAGACTATGAGGGTACCATCCTTTGAGCCGGTGGCCAGCATAGTTCCATCTGGTGAGAAACGTAGGAACCAGACATCATCACAGTGATCATTGAGCACTTGAGCTGTCTGACATGGAAATTGTTCCCTACAATATAATATATATCATGTACCTACAGTTCATCATTAAAAATCAGAAAGATGTTATTGCATTATAGCTAAACCGGTGCCTGTTAAAAATTTAACTACATAAAAACTAAGTTATACACTGCCTTGCATTTAGAATTTTGCTTTAGTGATTGAAGGCTATTCCTAACCAAAAATACAGACTTATACAAACACTTCTCTGCCATATGAATGTGAAGTAGTAAAGAAGTGTTATATCTAAATTAGAAGTAAAGAACAGTTGTATCATAGTTTGGGGACCTTTCTGTTGAAAAATGTGTCAGAGTTAAATTGTATACATATACATGCACAGTGCGTTAACTGGAGTGCAGGTATTAGTTACCCGCACTCCAGAGCATGTCCATTGATTGGCTCTTTTTTGCTGGAGTTGACTTATTGTGATGGCAGAGAAAGGGAAAGCGATGGAAATATCATATTCAGATGCTTGTTCATTGGTTTCTTTTTTCTGGGTTTTCATATTGTGACAACAGGGAACGTGTTTTTATGCTTGACTGTGATACAAGAGAGAAAGAACATCAAAACACTCAGCAATCTGATTTATACTCGGGGGCTACGCCCCGCGTACAAATCAGATAGCCTCGTGTTTCGATGCTCTTTCTATAACTTACATCTAAATTAGGCTATTAGATCCTTAAAAGAAAAATCTGATTAGAGAAGATAGACCCTTAACATTAGATATATTTAGACAAAAGGGGACACTAAATTAGAACCAATAACCATTCATCAATAATATTTGTACTGTATATTTAATCATTTTATGTCAAACTATAGTAATGTACCTACATCAACCATGTTTTTATAGTAATTGTAACCTAGACATCATACCAATGGTTTACAACAAGTGAAGACAAGTACAATATCATGTTGACTTACTTGCTACAGACATGGTCAAGCAACAAAGAGACATCTTCTAGAGTATTTGTGGACTTGGTGTTATGATAAGGGCATTTATCTTTCTGTAATTCAACAGCTTGGTTTAGAAGGGTCATCAATCTTCGAGGAGGTAACATCACTGATGGAGGCAGGAATGCTGTAATACAAAATATGCTGTAACTACCAATATTGCCCCAAAATTATGCAAACATTTTTTTGCATTCAGCATGATTGTGATGAAAGTTTGGAGTATATTGGAACAAATTTCGGGTCTGCTATCTGAAACTAGTCCATTATGTCATACTGGTGTCTGAAAACATGATCATGACCCATGAATGGCTCATCCCACAATCTCTTGATATAAGTACTTAATAATAAGATGTTTAAAAGAAAGATCAGTTTCTTATCTTTCATTTCATGAGGCTGATCCCAGTTATTTCAATTAATATAATATCTGAAATATGCTAGTTTCTCCAATACTTTGCACTTAACAACTTTGAGAAAGAAGTGGTCTATTTCCTTATAGAGTGAAGGAGAAACAATTAAAAAGAACGTGATGAATAAAAATTTAAAGAGGCGATCTACAAAAAAGAAGTAAAATAAGTATCACAAAATTACTAAACAAAACGTGATAAGACCAGAAAAACTTCCTTGTGTTGAAAGTTTTCTTATAAACTAACATTAATTCACATCCTCAGATTATAAAATATTGCTGGCAAAAAATCTGTGTTTTAACATTTAATGAATAAACTCTTCTTGCATGAATTGTTAAATGTGCTCTCTTTATAAAGAAAGCTTAAGTTAAAAAGTTAAAAACTTGGACTGAGCAATGATTTTCATACTTTGCCTTCTTTATTTAAAGTACAAAAATATACTTTAAATCATTTGTTAATACCTTGTAATTTTTCAATGAGCTTTTGTCTTGTCTCCTGACCTTTACCGCACCATTCTGACATTTCATGCAAATCTTCCGGATTACTACACATCATAAACCTGTAAAAAAGTTATAACTTACTTTAACTGCATACAGTACATGCTTAGCTTATTACAAGTATCTTAAACATTTCATACTATCAGTTTGATTTAAGTGCCAAACCATAACGACCATAAAATTTACCATATGTTGGACCAGAAAATTTACGAGATGCTAAGTTAAATAAGAACAGCAATGTATTTGAATGCTAGAGGTCACTAGTTTGCTCTTCTAGCCAAGTGAAATATCTCGTTGAAAATTGAATTCAGTCATCAAGTCCAGTGCTCATTTGTTTATCAGCTTTGAATCAGAAAAAGCTGTGGGAATTGGTACCCAGTCACTGAAGAAAAATTGATAATTACTGGTTAGCCAGTTAGGTAGACCAGCTGCCAAGATAAAAAATATGTTTAACTTGTCGAGAAAAAAACAGACACGTAAAACTAACTTACGTGCTAAGTTCATGAACCCTCTCAGTGTTATATTTTAGTGGTGTAAGTTCATGTCTTAGACACTGTAAAGCCTCTAATACATGTCCATCTTCCAACAACTCCAAATACTTTTGTTCCATGATAAGGAAACGCATCTCCTGAAAGTTACAACTTCAGCTTTATTGCAGAGGTATGGATTGAAAAGTGACTAATACATACTCATTCATTTGAATTCATAGCTTTACCCAAACTTATCAATTAAAGTTATAATTATGTAAATCAAGAAATTTAAAATCCATCATTTTGTTGTTTTAAGGCTGAGCACATTACAGAATACTACATTACTGATTAACATTATCATAACTGTCTTAGTATGGGCATGGTATTTTGTAAGGAGCTAAAATTAATTTCCACTTTCAGCCTTTTGCAACTTACTAAATCAAAGTTTTACCACAGTCTGAAAGAGCAGCCTTTTTCAAAAGTATCATTTTTTTTCTTCAATGATGCAAACAGTGTTTCTACAGTGTCAATATATAAATATAGACAAATCAGTCTTAACAAATATATAAATTTGCAGAACATAATAGTATAAGACGCGTGAACAAATTTATTTTAAATTTTAAGTCCCCTACAATTACTGTTTAGTCAGTATACCACTGTTCAAAACAGAGATGTCATTACTCTATGGAGCAAGTTAGTCCATGTACACATATTTTGAATGATTTTTTATTTACCAGAATACTGTCTGACTTCTCCACTAGAGTTATCAGATCCTCCAAATCTTCATCTGCCTGTAACAAATAACATATAACAAACAATAAGGAGACAGGTAACTCATGGAGAGATGTTGCCTACTGGTGTCTACCTCACGACCCTGAGATTGTGGGTGGGTTCTAAAATGTTTCTGAGAGTAACACCAGTCCCCTCAAATCGTCCCCGACGGATACAATATGATCACAACCATTATATTTACAAAATATATAGAATGAACAACAGAACAATTTAGTTATGAAATAATGTTTAATGTGTTGCAAGCGAATTGGTTATATCTGACTGTACATGAAATGAACCAACATATTTATGTCCAAATAAACCCTCATTTGCAAATAACATACATAAATTTATATCGTTTCATAAATTACATGTAAATAACTTCAGTCAAAGTACAAGACACATTACTAGAAAAGATGAAACACGTACATCTATTGTCGAAAATCCTTAACAAAACTTATAATAAAAATCTTAATTTTCTTCTTCGGACATGTTGACCGTCGATTAACCAAGCGCTGAATGAATTTGCAACGCTATTCCGAAAATCACGTGCTGATTTTGGCGCGAATAGCGCCCTCATGTGATCCGACGGGAACAAAACCAGGGGAAATAATTTTCTTCTAATGCACTTTGTTTAAACGAATTTTATTACTAAGAGTTATGAAACATTTTTCTGAGTTCTGTCTTAAATCATAAGATTTTCACTGGTCAGTGTACATTTTGAGTCAGTTTACGACCAATCAAATGCCTGAGATCCGAGTTTGAGCTTAGAGAATTTCTTTACAACCTTGGACCCAGTACTGGTTTAGTTCTATGAAACAGACTCTAGAGTGGTCCAAATAGGCTTCAAGCTTTCTTAACAATCAAACTTAGACAACTGATGAATGCTTAAACTTGGTAATAATTCAGAAGTTCTTAATAAACTAGAAATGTGTCCATAGGACACGGATGCCCCCACACGCCACTGTTCTGTCAATCTTATGACTCTAGGTCAAATATTTTTTGGACTACATGTGCCACAAGTTGAAAACTAAAAATCAACAAAGGGCCATAATTCTGTTAAATTTGGTCGCAGCAAAAATTCCTTCCTTTACTACCATCTACACATTAAGGTTGTTAATCCCTGGAAGTTTAAGCAAAATCTGCCATCCGGTTTAAGAGGAGTTGCGTTCACAAAATTTCTACATAGTATATAATGAAAAAATAAAAAAAGGGCCATAATTCTGTTAAATTTGGTTGCAGCAAAAATTCCTTTCTTTACTACCATCTACACATTAAGGATGTTCATCCCTGGAAGTTTAAACAAAATCTGCCATCCGGTTTAAGAGGAGTTGCATTCACAAAATTTCTACATAGTATATAGTGAAAAAATCAACAAAGGGCCATAATTCTGTAAAATTTGGTCGCAGCGAAAATTCCTTCCTTTACTACCATCTACACCTGAAGGTTGTTCATCCTTGTAAGTTTAAGCAAAATCTGCCATCCGGTTTAAGAGGAGTTGCGTTCACAAAATTTCTACATAGTATATAGTGAAAAAATCAACAAAGGGCCATAATTCTGTTAAATTTGGTCGCAGCAAAAATTCCTTCCTTTACTACCTTCTTCACATTAAGGTTGTTCATCCCTGTAAGTTTAAGCAAAATCTGCCTACCGGTTTAAGAGGAGTTGCGTTCACAAGATTTCGGGACGTACGGACTGACGGACGGACGGACAAGTGCAACGCTATATGCTCCCACATTGTGGGGGCATAAAAATATAAAATTTATATTCATTCTCTGTAATGTTACTTACATATTTCTCATCAAATTCAGAATGTTTTAATGTTATAACTTTAAAATATGTATGATATTCATGCATAGACATCACATGTAAAATCTTATTATGATTACTTTAGAATCATAATACAAAGAAAGATCATCATAAAAACTTAATTGAGTTTACCTTCGACCATTCCCCTGTCATTATATGAGATCTAAACTTAGCTGCAGCTGGATGTTCTAACATGCAACCCGACTCGGCTATTAACTCATCAACAGTGTGACTGAAAAATAACAAATTTAGAATATCAGCTGGTTATTTGGTAGTGGTTATTTGTAATTTTGACAAAATAGTTCATGCATGCATCCTTGGTAAATAGAGACAGGTTATGAAATAGTGTTAAAAGAAAATTATGAAAGAAAGAATATCATTTGATTATAATTTATTCTAACTGAAAATTGGGCAGTGTAGAATTGATATATTTCAGGTTCATTATTAAAAATTGTACAAAACATAATTATTAATGAGAATATTTAACTCAAACCTAGCTTACTGTAACAGAAAAACACCTTTAAATATACATGTAAAGAAGTTGATTGTTAAGTTAAGCAGGGGATATACTTAATCAGACATTAAGACAAAAAACTCACTGTCCATTTAGTAAATGTTCCAATTTTTATATAAATACAAATCTATAACTTAACCATGAAGTAAACACAAAATCTGTATTATTTTCATGTTCTTAACCATCTTAACCATCAATTGTAAGCATGGCAGCAGTGCTGGGATCATTTGATTGTGTAGGAAAAGCAGTTAGAGACACTTTTTAACCCATTCCTAGAACAAACGATACCGAGTGTTTAGTTTCTTGCTCATGGAAACAACAGCTTGCCCCCTCACGATGTTTTGACCAATGCATCTAATGATCCTTAGATCACTAGAACACATTAACAACTGGGCCATGCCAACACATGAGGCTTATTGAGCTGATTCTTTATTTTTTGTATATTCTCACACTTCTATGCCATGCAAGAATGATTTTTTGGCACAAAAATAACAGGGATAATTAAACTTCAGTGCATTATTTCAGGCACAAACAAGCACCTGAATAGAACTGGTCATTGATGTTCCATTTATATTATAACCTAACTACCTTCCTCAGGTGAAAAAAATCCAAAGTACCTGTCAAAATTCGAACCTACAGCACTGAGGGGCAAGTGGTTTCAAGTCAACAACCTTAACCACACAAAAAAATTAACCATCTTAATTACTGTCCAGGCAGAAAAGGCCTTATAAAATCAAAGGTGTGAAAATCCATTAAGTCCTCTTAAATTGATTCAGTTAGGTGGAAACACATTACAAGTGCATTAAGTCTTGGGAATATTGGCTCAACCTGGTATATCCCTGCAGTGTAGGAGCATTTAGACTAAGATTTTGTTATTTGATGGCTGCAGGCCCATTGTTTATTAATTAATGTACCCAATTATTTCCTGGGAGCCGGGACTTTTAACTAATTCCTGGGAGTGGGGACTGTTGTGACAATGGGCTAGTGAATAATTTAACTGTTGAACTTATAAAGGGAAAGTCTTAATTATCATGATATCTGAACTCTTAGCTAAAAGTAGCTAAAATTTGTTATGCATATTTGTGATAGGTGTTTTGACCTCACATAATTTTGAGATGACCCCTTTTAATTTGACAGCTGATCGCAACAAAATAATTATGTAGACACATTTTCGTATTAAACACAACTTGGATCACAATTAATTTCAATGGGGTTATGATTAATAAGAAAAAGCACGCAGATACATTGCAATGACAACACATATATTCCGACGTAATTAGAATAATAATCCGTAAAACGAGAGCCTCAATTTCATTTGTCACTGCTTACTTTAGTCCAAGTCCCCTCAAATGCTGTCCTATCAATCGAATGATATCTACATCAGATCTTGACATTGTTTTTTGTGGAGAAGGTTTATCCGTTAGTTCACCATTAAACGACCCCTCACAGGTGCCGTTATGTTGCGAAACCGACGGCATCTCCACGGTTTCTCCATTGTGTTGTTGTGTGGTACCATTGGTCTGCATACTGACACAAGTTTTAAGCTTTTTCCGCGGTGGAGGGGTCAGACCACCGCTCTCGGAGTCCGACGACGATGCCAGTATGTCAGCGCTCGATTTTAGGGTTCGTATCTGTCTGGATGTGCAACCCAGAAGGAAAATAAAGGAGAAAATGCGACATGTATGCACAGAGCTGTGATCGACTGTCCAATGTTTTCCTTTATGACGTCACGTGCACTTTATCGGGGATGATGGGAAATATCGTAGGGAGAGATTAATAAGTTTATAATTGATTGAGTATTTGTTTACCTTAAGAATACACTGTATAACCATACTCTATGTATTATTAAAGTTATCTTTATTTGAATTCAATGTGATTTTCTTTTAATGCTCTAAATCCTTAATGTATAAAAAACAAATTCTGACGTCATAATTTCCGTCTGAAAAAGCCACGCCCCCTTGTTTACATTTTTCACCACGGTTGTATACATGCAAAAATCACCAAATATGTAGATATTCAAAATGTTTTCTAAAATTCATCATAGAATATTTTTCAATAAGAATTAAATTTAGACGCTCACAAACTACTAGCAATACCAAATTTGATACACACTGTAATGAAGGCCTAAATATATTTAATAAATTTCTGGAAAATATTATATTATCGGACCAAAATTAATATAGCCAGGGTAATAAAAGTAAAAATGCTTTCAAGATAACTTTTGAATATTCATAATGTAAAGTTGAACAAAACTTACAAAATCTATTTATTTAATATTATTTGCAATATATAGACTACAGGTCTACAGTACTTCATTCAGCACTCCTATACTTTATTAAAGTAAGACTAAAGTAATACAATGTAGTCAAGGGTTGTGTTAGAAATAAATGATCAACTGATGTGTTTATTTGAGTCCATTTATACTTGCCACGGGTTGCCCATATATGGACGAGTCCTCCAGAAGAGTATTAGTTATTTTAGATTTTGGATGATAGTGCAAGATACAGAAAGATGTCCCAATTCCAGAAGCTTTTCTTGGTTCTTTAGCGTTCCAACTGTTCAGCCCTCATACACTAGACCTTGATTTCAAGTTTCATTCAAAAGATTGTTTAGTAATATTAGTTTGCCAGCCCGGGAATCGGAACCACAATGTTGAGATTACTCCCTAACTATGCAGGTAATTAACTGGGCAAATGCTGTAACCTTTAAATGATATACCTCTAGGCCTTAAAGCCTATATACTACCTTAACACAGATTTCTGCTGCTATATACCTGGTAGTTGAATTTGAAAGCATTCAGTTTAAGGTCACTTGAAAACTAATTAATGTTTGCATTCAAACTAACATCTAAGATGTTATATATTTTGTAACAGCTTCATAAGTTAGTGAAAGTAACTAGTAAAGTATTGCATTTTTAAGTCTTAAGTTTTATCCACATAGATTTATTGATTTCCCCAATGCTTATGGCATTCCAAATTATAGTGCCTAAAAATATACCACCCTCTGAGGTACCCATTAACAACTGGGTGGAGTGACGCAATGAAGAGTACCAGGTAATTTTCTCGCAGACCCCTCAATCCCATAGTAAAAGTCTTACCACTTCTTCCCATATTTTAAAGAATCCCTAATAAAGAGTCTTATGGTATAATCTCTTCCATCCACCTTAAAGAATGAGAGGCTCAAAAGAAATGAAAGAAAAAAATCTATGAAATGTATAGTCTCAATTTGGTTGAGCATCAGAAAGAGTTTTAAGGCAAAAACAAATGCTGCTCACAGGACAGAGTGCTTGATAGTAGAGCAAGTGTAGGTCTTGGAAAAACTTTAGGTCATAAGGCATAATGTCAAATTCTAGCAGCCCTATGAACTGTTATGTACGCTTGCATTGCTAGGATGGTTAATGTCATAAACATTTATTCCTGGTTCAATATCTCAAACAAAGCAGTTGGAACGAAAACCTTACTGAAATTCTATGTAAAATAAGGTTATAAGTTTCTGTATGTTTACCTACATATAAAGATTGATGATCATGAACATGCATTCACTGTTTCAAAGCAAATCAGTCTTACAAGTCTTCCATTAAAATTGAGAGGGGTACAATAATAATAACTGAAAATATTACAAGAAAAAAGAGCAAAATAATGCCAAATTCCTTGACAAGAATGATGTACCCTCATCTACAAGACGAGACAATATCATTATTTATAAGAACTCAAATTAATATCCTGTGAGGTCAGTAGACAAGTTTTACTCAATCAAAATGTGATGCTGTTATAGACATAGAAACCAAGACAAATATGTAAGCATACCGATTCTACAAATTGTTGTGCTAAAAATTCCTTTTAACATGCACTTTCATGTTATCGAATATACAGTAAGCAACAAGTCTTATTTTTTTGCAGTCATTTCTTGTTTTTAAAATGTTGTTTAGTGATGGTTTGTTTCTTTTCATTTTAGGATTGTAAGATTATGTCCATCTTTTGACATAATTTTTAAATTTCACTTGAAAAATCTACTAAATATCCGAGTTGATACAGGCCATTAACCATCTCATGTTCTTGGCTTATTCCTGGTTTTTGCTAGTTGTTATGCTGCTAACTTCCTCATTTATCAGTAACTTTTCAGGTGCGAAAAGCAGTGAGGGAGTGAATGGCTTAGTGGTAAAAATGTCTGTCTCTCACTCCAGGGATCATGGGTTCAAGCCATACTAGGGCCACTACCATGTTTCTTCACACAACATCTGTACTGGTTAGTTCACGGAAGCAAACAACAAAGTGATTAATTTAAGTTACACACAATCAATTTTAAATAAATATGTTTATACTGGGTGGAGGACAAATGCCATTATATGCATTTTACAACAAGATGGCAACTATAAAGTCCAAAATTCACAGAGAACAGTAGTTAATCACAAGACAAAACTGCAAGATTCTTCTCTGCTTTTTAAGCACAAAATATGATGCAAGCTTTTTTCAGGATAGAATCATTTTTTTTCATCTTACTTCCAAGTATTACAAAGAAGAAGAAAACAAAAGTAAAGGTTACAAATAATTTATTCATTTAAAATGAAATAATATGAACTGTCATGTTGTAACATGATTAAACACAAAATTAACACAGAAGTTCTTTATATCACATGTACACAACAGAACAGAACAAAACAGAACCACTATTTGATTATTCCATGGCAGAAAATTGTATCTATATAAAATGTAACAAAACTTAATTATTTATATACATATACATTCACTTTCGTCATTAAATACAACTTAAGTCAAAGTAAATTTTTTATGATTTTACAAATCCATCTACTTTTATTAATTCTTAAAAAAAAACGAATATATTTGTAAAGTATATGTAAAAATAGTGAAAATACACAGTCAATTTTATATCGTACACTAAGATGCCCACTATTTTATATTTTTCAAAACGATACATTTCATCACTCAAAATATACATATATTAAATTTATAGATTGCCGCAGTAAGGCACGTCTTAATAATATCTACATTAACAAATACAATACTTAGTATATCAACATGCTTTTCTACTTATAGATATCAATTGTGACTTTAGTTAAATTCAGTTATAAGATATATACATGTACATTCTCAAACAATTTTGAAAGTACCGTAACACAATAAAAGGTTACGAAACTGTCTAAAGTTTAATTAAAACATGTTGTGTCTCATACCCTACAGTTCTGCACACTAACATTTCACCTACAGTCCAGTGATACTTACCAAAATATTAGTGAAGAACCTAAACTGGTAAACAAATAAATGTTCATAAACCAAGCTGGTGGTGTTGTTTTTCTTCCCTAGATTTTAAAAAATGTTATTTAAATAGTTTTTATATATATATATCCTATACTATACCAATAAGGCTAATAAGGCCACAAGAACGTACCATACTTTGAATACTACTACTATTCTAATAAATAGACTCTTAGTTCAATGCAAGACTGCATTCTTCCTTTATTACTTATATTTTTACACAAGTGTTGCATAAATAACACTAATTATTATTTAAAGACTCCATGAAAAACTCCCCAAATCAGCTGAAAGAATCTTCTTACCTTATTTTCTATGTTGAGGATATATGATAATATAAATTTTCTTTTAATCTGAAAATCTTAAACTTAACTTATAGATTAAGATTATGATTTTTTTTATTTACAGAAAAAAGATAAAAAAATCATCTTATAATGTCAACAAGTTGCTTCAAAAAAAGAAAGTAATTCAATATGGTTGTTTTACAGGAAAAAGAAAATGGAATCTATATTAATCAATATTGTTTTTTATCATAAAGTCAAAATATTTCAGAAAAACACAAAGTGTGGAAATCAAAGTGTTAAAACAATTTTACTTTACAATTATAGAACGGATTCCCCCCCCCCCCCTCCCCCACCCTCCCCAAAGTGTAACATACATGTTGTAGCAATTATAATGAATATTCTAAAGGTATATTGCTAGATTTTATAAATTTCAATACAGCTCCTAAACGTACCACTTCTGTGGATTTTAACTTCATTATTCAAACAAACTTAGCTGATTTTCCAACAAAAAACTTATTTAAAAACGGGACTTAAAAGGTAAATTCAATATTCTAACATTTTGTGAAATTCAGACTAAAACTTAGAATCAACTTGTTAACACCAAACAGCAAAGTATTAAAGAAAGAAAATTAATTTTGATATGGAAATTGCCATTTCATAGTGTTTTTTTTTTTTTCATGAAGCAATATTCATCATATATTTATACATGTTTAACAATACACTATTTCATTCATATAAATGATAATCTTTTTTCTTTATATCACTTCTGAGTAAATGCTGTTGTTTATTTTTTCATCTATAGTATTAAATAACAAATTTTCAACATTAATATCATTAAAACAAATATCCTTTATCAATTTCATATATATAAAACTTTTTTTCTTCAAAATGTGCAGTATATAAAATATTCAAATGTGCGGTATTTATACAAATCAGAAAGAAACAAAAAGATATATTTCATTTTTATATTTATAAGTTTTACATACAATAGAAAACATAATGTTACCAAATCGCCTAGTTACATTGTATATTCAAAATTTAAGACGCTTAAGAATTATTTTCAAGCAACATCAACAAGTTATTGCACATTGTGAAAAGATATGTCACTCCTGTATATATATCAAATATAGAACTTAAAACAAGTGAATAGATTTTCTTAAAGTAAACTGTTACTATGAAATA